GTCGATTTGTAGCATATATCTGACCCACAGTATATATTTGACACAGATTGAGCATTATGATTATAATTAGAATGTTGAAAACCGCACTGAAAGTGCGTGATTTTTCTTTTTTTTTTTTTTTTTTTGCCATTTGTGAAAGGGGGCGCAAAAACTCAAGGGGCACGAAAACTCAAAACCAAGACACAAAGCTCGTCATTGAGTACCTAGCTGTCACTTAGCCTCTGCCCGCAATATAAAAATCAAAATAAACTAAACTGAGACGATTTTACAGATTTCTGTTTGTGGGAAAGGGATTTGAGGAATCCTGATAATCATTTTTTTTTGTCTTATATCAGATGACACTTTGTACTCGAAATTCGATATTAAGAAGAGTATTTGGCAGGAATGCGAATATTAGTATAATTTACAATTTTACAACGAGGGGGTCGGGGGCGCAGTTAGAGCAGTTTTTGTGGACAATGATTGTGGTACGAGAGATGCTCAAAAGTGGATCCGTAGAGTATCTCTGAAAGGGTTATACACACGGGGCCAGGTCCGGGGTAAAAGGCAAGTAGACGGGATGTTGGCTGCGGCTGTTGGAAGACGATACCTACATATTAGTCTCACAGCCGACACTAATTCGGTAACCCGACGAAACATGACGAAACATGAAAACGAGACGAAACATGAAAACAAAGGCAATGGTATATTTTAATAAAGTCCATTTAACACGAAAACATCCCCTCTTGGGCGAAACATGGTGGAAAACCAACCGAAAACAAAGGCAATGGCATATTTTAATAAAGTCCACTTAACACGAAAACAAGAGAGAGAGAGGGAGAGAGAGAGAGAGGGGGTTTAACGTCCACTCGACACAAACTAGGTCATTTCGGGACTAATATGTGGTTCAATTTTATTTCTATAATTCGCTTGCGCGTAGGGGTCTTAAGCAGTGGGAGGAAACCGGAGGACCCGGAGAAACCCCACGGGGTTGGACAGGCGATCCTACTCCTCGTCACGCACAACCGGGGATTCGCAACCACGCCAATTGACTTAATGACAGACCTTATGATACAGCACGCACGTACTAACCATTCGGCCATCCAACCCCCCTAACACGAAAACAATCTTTCTTGAGCTGCACGTGGTGGAGAACCAATCAGTTCGCATATACCTGTAAGAATTAAAGAAAGAAAGAGATTATTCGTTGGATTATGTTAATCCTAATACAGGTAAGTTTGTAGTTATGGTAAGAAGGCAGAGAGTGGCCACTAACACCAAAAGCACTGGCCAAGTGGTTCAAATTTGTAACCGGATGAATACCAATCTGATTACAACACAGACCCTATTTCGTTTCGTTCTATAGTTCAAAATTTCGTTTTACTTGTCTTTGCCCCACTAGGATCTGCAAGAGTTGTTATATAACACGGGTTCTGGATGATCTGAGGGATTGGGATTGGGTAAACCACTAGAAACATCAACGCGGATTAATCAATGTCTGGCGTCATAAGGCCAAAAGCCGCTCGTGTGACACCTGATGCAACCTTCCACTTCAACTGGTCAGAACTTCAGATAGTGCAGACCATCGGAAGTATAGAAAAAAAAACGAAAAATAGATCTGCATTTTAATCAGATTGGATGAATACAATCGTTTATGGTATTCTCAGGGTTAGTTGTAGGTCAGTTTATCAGTAGTCTGTCTTTATCATAAATGTTGCTCCTCTATTGGGAAATAGATATGTTGGGAAATAGACATGTGCTCTGTGGAAAGGTGAATCGGTGATGTGCTAAAGTTAAGGGCTTAATTTTGATCACTTGTCTGAATGTTGGGTTGCACATGGTGCCGCTGTTGATTTCCGTTTCTGTGTAATGGTGGCAGGTTTCAAAGGGGAAACAACTCTGTAGGTGGTGCTCTCGTTTTAGTAGTCGGGGTTAGATCTATTTCATAAGGCCAACTTCAAGTTTGGTCAAAGGTCATGAAATGTAAACAGGGCAAGCGCTAATCCCAAAATTAACCCTAACCCTGGACCTAGCCCTAACGCTTACCCTAGCCCTGACCTACAATTTCACCAACAATCACGTGCCCATACCCTATTTACATCTCCGGCGACCTGGATGATACCTTGAGTTGGCCTTAAGAAATAGATATAGCCATTGTTGTAGGGTGGAACTCTCTGCTAAATATTGGTTGGGGAAGTAAAAGGGGGTGAGCTGAAGCTAGCCAACATTACTTCACCCTCATCGTCGAAAGCCGAGGTGAACAAAACACGATGTTTAGCCGTTCAAGTGACCGGACGAAACGAATAACAAACGTCCGCTACTATTTAAATCATCGGAGCCATATAATAATTGACATGAAATGAAAATATTATCCATCCCCAATTTTTGTGGTGCCACTGCCACGGATGATTCGAATATGCCGTAAAACGGGTTGAATTAATTATCGGTATAAACCGCAAAACATCAGATTATACTGATCTACCTTTTCTATCGATTTTCATTTACCAAACGTCAGTTGCTGTTTTATTTTTCCTGAGCCACCCAATACTTGGCATGGAAATAAGGAGTGTCTATCCCTTTTTTACGTGGCACCAGAAGAATATTCCTGAAAGTCCTCAACATAGACTGAAATCCTTCCCCGAAAAGACCGCCAATCCACACTCCCCCATGTTTTCTTTGTCTGTTGTGATTTACCAGACGTTACCTGCTATATTACTAAGTCGAAAGTCGACAAGACGCTACACAAGCCAAAATGCAAGTCGAAAATTAGGAAAAAACAAGGGACGCTATTATCGCGGTGTGTCTATAGCCGGTCAGTGCTAAATGGTAAGACCAGCTCAATTTTTCGTTATAGGTTACGAGATGTAAACAGGGCTAGCGCTAATCCCAACCCTAACCCTGGACCTAACCCTAAAGCTTACCCTAACCCTAACCTCCAATCTCGCCAACAATTACGTACGTACCCTAAACTTATTTACATCTCAGCGAACTTGACAAAAATTGAGCTGGACTTAACAAATAGATTTAGCCGCGATTGATTATGTTTTGGCAGCCATTTTGACAGAACTGATGATAGGACAAAAAAATTAACCGTGCCTGGTACCGTGCCTAGCAGGCACGCTTAAAATTTGTAATGTAAACGGGGTTTATTTCTTGATTTCATATTTTAGAGTCGATTTTGGCTTTATAGCGTGCTGTCACCTCACATTTTGTCGTAAATTCTACTTTTCTACTCTCACGTTCTGAAAAAGTAGAAATTACGAATGGTAGTAATAGGCTTCCATAGTTGTGTCCGTTCGCTTCCGCTTTCGATGGGGGTCAAGGTTATAAGTCGTGAGCTGAAAGCCGCTCAACGTACAAGGGCAACACGAAGTGACTGGTATTGTTATATAACATATTTCCAGCAATTAATTTGAAGAATGAGACATCATGTATGCTAATTTTTGAAATCAAATCAATGATAGGTAGCCGGGGCTGCATTATTAAGTCTAGTTTGTGTCGATGACAGTGTTGTGCGTTGTCGCGGAATGGAATTTATTTTATTTATTCACATATTGGTATTCGCACATGGAGTTCTTCAGTATACCACAAAAATAAACACTTCTCTTTTCCACCGTTCTCCTCCTCGAACTGATGTGAAATCATGGATTATAGGCTAAGGTCCATAGTGAAATCTATGATTATTAAATAGTGGTCAAATGATTTTCTAATAAACAATTTATTATTACTTCTGTAAGTGATTTGAGCGATATTAATTATTATATTATAGGAGGAATCTCTTTCAAACTAGGTACCCTGGTAGTCGACTGTAAAAGTTGAATATAAATATCAGTACAAAAAATAAATATTTACAAAGATATGATGAACTGAAATTTCTGAAACCAAGCCCACCGCCATCTTTATTTTTCATGAAATCTAATTGATGAACCTTTTTTTAATCCAATTGAAATTGAATCCAATTCAGAAGATGGAGATTAATATGTCATGTAACATTGCTATATTGATTTTGTTTTCTTAATTAAATGATAAATAATTTGAGTAGGCTACACATCGATAATTAAAGTAGCTAAGTCTCTAACTCAATATCATTTAAAGTCTTCGATATTGAAAACATGAAGTAGCTAAGTCTCTAACTCAGTAGGCCTATCATTTAAAGTCTTCTGATATCCAGTATTTAAGACAAAATGAACATTTTACCATTGGTACACGAATCGTGTACCATAATGCGTTTAAGTACTTTAAGCGCCATTTGTAGCAAGGGACTCAAAGAATGGGGCTAGACATATTCCACAAGTCATGTCAAACGGTGACACCATATTCTTATCTGAAGAGCATGTACAATAAATACTATTGGTGTAGACTGGAATAACCATACACTAGAGATTGCCATTCAACTGAGACTTCTGGCATTTTTCGCCGAACATGACTGATTTAAAATTAGAGTAAACATGGGAATGATTGAATGTAAATAAGTTTATAAATATACATTCATATTACATTATTATATAGTAACCATTTATGTCAATTTCTAGGTCCCTAAATATTAGCGATTTAGCTCCTTTAAGCTGTGAGCAATTTGATAATGGTATTCCGAAAAATGCATGTAGTTACTTTAAATTGCAAAAGGTTTAATTTTATTTTTCAGTGTACTGTAGTAGTTGGAGATTAGAGGTTAATTGAAATTAATGTCCAGTAATACCAGATACCTGTCTTCTTTACTTTAAACAACAACTGAAGAAAAATGCAGAAATTTCTTCCGACAAATAAATTAATTAGACTACCTCAGGGAAACAATGCCATCCGATTTTATGCCTCTTTATCTAAAGACCAAAAAGATACATTAGCTGATGGGCCAGATTTAGCTGATTTCATTGAAGATAAAATTCCACCCATTGAAAGTATAAAAAGTAAGAAAGGAGAAAGGCTCCGATTGCCTGAATGGTTGAAAACAGAGATCCCAATTGGAAAGAATTTTCATCAGTTGAAAGACACACTTCGTGACTTAAAGTTACACACGGTATGTGAAGAAGCCAAATGTCCGAATATCGGAGAGTGTTGGGGTGGTGGGGAGCATGGCACAGCAACAGCCACAATAATGGTTCTCGGAGAATTATGTACGAGGGGTTGTCGATTCTGTTCAGTCAAGACAGCTCGTAAGCCTCCCCCACCTGATCCAATGGAACCAATAAACACAGCTATAGCTATATCATCATGGCAATTAAATTACGTGGTTTTGACTTCCGTTGATAGGGATGATTTACCTGATGGAGGTTCAGAACATCTGGCAGAAACAATCCGTGAAATCAAACAACGAAAATCTTCAATACTTGTAGAATGTTTGACACCTGATTTCCGTGGAGATCTGAAAGCTGTAGAAACTGTTGCAAGTTCGGGTTTAGATGTGTATGCTCATAATGTGGAAACAGTTGCTGAATTACAATGGTTAGTTCGTGACCCTCGAGCAAACTATAAACAGTCACTTGCAGTTTTGGAGCACGTTAAAAAATGTCAACCCAACTTGGTGACAAAAACATCCCTTATGCTAGGATTGGGTGAAACGGACGAACAGATAAAACGTGTCATGGAAGATTTACGTAATATTGGAGTTGATTGTTTAACATTTGGACAATACATGCAACCAACAAAAAGACATTTAAAAGTTAAAGAATATGTCACCCCAGCTAAGTTTGATTATTGGAGGGAAGTGGGAGATAAAATGGAATTTGCATATACAGCTAGTGGGCCGCTTGTTCGTTCTTCCTATAAAGCTGGGGAATTCTTTATAAAAAATCTCATAGATAAGAAGAAAGAACCAGTACCAACTTGATCTAAAACTAATTGTTTTAATGGAGCATATATACAGGTCTTACCTTTAACTGAGAATTTAAATAACTATAAAATAGTTCTGGCTATAAAAAAATTAAAGGGGCATTATGGAAGATTAGACAAAAGAGCTGCCAGTTCTGACTATAATAGTTCAAAACTAGATAATGTAAAGGGTATATGCTGAAACTTTCAGTCAAATTACTCAAATGTGAACCAAGATATTAGTGATTGAATTTTATGCCTAGCCTCGATCATCATTATGAAAGTCAGTACGTTAAAAAAAACAAAGTCTCGATTATATATTTTGCTTTTAATCATCAATGTGCACTGAACAGAAGATCGGATTCAAATCCAATGAAAATCGGACACATAAGATGGCATCGAGTGTTGATTATGGTCTTTTCCTGTTAATAAATGTTGCATTTATAGTTTATATAATATTTCAGGCTTAAAGAAAGACCTACAATAGGCAGATTTAGCTCTTGCATAATGTATGTTAAAGTATGATAATACTGTGTGAAGTCGATTATGGTGCAAACATTAACAATGTATTTATTGTATTTATAAATTTGGACTGATGCCAATATCAATGTTTTATGATGAAGCTGTGATTTTATCTTTAAATTATTTTGAATTAAATAAACCAATCATTATTATTAGTATTATTTTACAGCATTATAAAATAATCTATTGCTATTAGGTCAAAACTAGCTAAAATTTGGAACGTATGGTAATGAGTTAGCATAAATAGATAATTATTGTAAAAAATTTGCATGCGCTCCACCCGAGCTAATGAAGACAGGCATATGCAATTCACTTTTTTGCTATGAAGGAATTTTTGCCTGGACAGCGGTGCTGCAGCCTAAACACTGTCCTTGGAAACATAATTAACATTGAAGTCAATGGACGAAGTAATGGTAGTCTGTATCCTATTTCACATGAAAGATAAAAGGCGTAGTCTCCCTTCATACACGCTATTTTAGATGGTCCTCCTCCGAATATTAGAAAAGATTAAAGAAGCTAAGTCTCTAACTCAATATCATCCAAAGTCCTCGACATTGTAAACACGAATTAGTTGTCAATTTAAATCAACATTGATGTTATGATCTTACCGGGAAAAGATGGGCTTCTGATATTCAATATTTAAAACAAAATAAAACAGTTTACCATTGGTGCACGAATCGTGGACCATAATAGTTTCTGCGATATTTGTGAGAGAGAGAGAGAGAGAGAGATGGGGTTTAATGTCCACTCGACACAGACTAGGTCATTTCGGGACTAACATGGTTTAATTTTATTTCAATAATTCGCTTGCGCGTAGGGGTCTTTAGCAGTGGGAGCAAACCGGAGGACCCGGAGAAAACCCACGAGGTTGGACAGGCGACCCTACTCCTTGTTACATACAACCGGGGATTCAAAACAACGCCAGTTGACTCAATGACAGGCCTTATGATACAGCGCGCACGTCCTAACAATTCGCCCCCGCCCTCATGTTAACAGCAAAATAACTATAAACGCAAAATAAACGTCAAATACAGCCTAGGTAGAGTGATTCACAGCCTCAAGCAATTTGCTAATAAAAATCTAGCCTTCTCTTGTCAACATGATCACCACTGAGCCACTGATCAGAATTCTCGAATGAAAAGTATTCAGTCACAGGATCGCACGTACGCTGCAGACAGCAAACATTCGCCCCAAAATAGACATTCACGTGACAATATTCATTCCCTTATTCAGCAATGAAGCCTTGAAAAAATTCTCATCTTTGCGCGATGGACTTTTAAAAATACCTAATTTGGCTAAAACTCAGCGATTTTTTTTCTTATTTAGTTGATTGTAATTAATGACGTATATATTGTAATGGTTCTCGGTTCAGAGTCACCTCATGTAGTTTCGTCCTTTTTCAATCTTTTAAACTCGATCTAGCGACAATTTAGTGACACAGCAAGACTGTGAAATTTACTTTTATTTAACCGTAAAATCCAGTGGTTAGTTGCCGCCTTAGCGATATGCTAGCTCTAAATACGCACAAAATATTGAGACCAGAAATTAACTGAACGAAATGTTTTTCCGTAGTCTTGATTGATCAAATTTGTCTGATTAAAATAAAATTAAGGTACCGGTCACAGCACTCGAATTCTAAACTTTTTAGGACGTGTGCTCTGTTTTGGATGTGTATTCCCCCCCCCCCCCCTATCGAAGAAAGCAGGGGACTATTAAACTGGGTTCGTCTGTCCGTCCGTCCGTCAGCCCGTCACAATAACTCTCTTTCTAATTGAGCTAGATTGTTCAAACTTGGTGTAGGTGTTTATTATGTCAATACCTTGATGGAGTTCGAAGATGAGCTTAGGGTGAACAGAGATAAGCAATTTGATTGGTTGATGCTTTTGGACACGAGAGTGATGAAACTTGGTTTATAGTTTCATTACATCAATACCTTGACTAAGTTCGATAATGATCATTTTTTGCTCGGGGTAAGCAGAGCGATAAGCAATTTGATTGGCCGAGACTTTGGAACACAATAACTCTCCTTCTAATTGAGCTAGAATGTTCAAACTTGTTGTAGTTGTTTATTAGCTCAATTCCCGTGATGGAGTTCGAACATGAGCATTTTCTGCTTAGGGTAAGCAGAGATAAGCAATTTGATTGGTTGGTGCTTTGGGACAGTTCTAATTAAGTGAGAGTGATAAAACTTGGTGGATAGTTTCATTACATCAATACCTTGACTAAGTTCGATAATGAGCATTTTTTACTCGGGGTAAGCAGAGTGATAAGCAAAGTGAGATTGATGAAATTTGGTGTATAGTTTCATTACATCAATACCTTGACTAAGGTAAATCATGAGCATTTTCTGCTCAGGCTAAGCAGAGCGATAAGTAATTTGATTGGTCGAGAAATTGGAACGCAATAACTCGCATTCTAATTGATGTAGAATGTTCAAACTTGGTAAATGCCTTGATGGAGTTCGATGATGAACATTGTATGCTTACGGTAAGCAGAGATAAGCAATCTGATTGGTTGATTCTTTGGGGCATGATAACTTTGGTTATAATGAAGTGAGAGCGATGAAACTCCGAATATAGATTCAGTAATCATTACCTTGACTAAGTTCGATGGTGAGAATTAGGTTAAGGAGCGATAAGCAGTTTGATTGGTCAAGACTTTGGAACATAACAACTTTTAATTGAGGTAAAATGTTTAAACTTGATGTAGATGTTCATTAGGTGAACATAACAACTTTTAATTGAGGTAAAATGTTTAAACTTGATGTAGATGTTCATTAGGTGAATGTCTTGACTGAGTTCAATGATTAACATTTCGAGCTGAAACTAAGCAGAGCTTATCAGTTTCATAATCTTGATTCTATTTGATAGAGAGAGAGAGAAATGGGGTTTAACGTCCACTCGACACAAACTAGGTCATTTCGGGACTAACATATGGTTCAATTTTATTTCCATAATTCGCTTGCGCGTAGGGATCTTTAGCTGTGGGTGGAAACCGGGGGACCCGGAGAAAACCCACGAGGTTGGACAGGCGACCCTACTCCTTGTCACGTACAACCGGGGATCCGAAACCACACCAGTCGACTCAATGACAGACTTTATGATACAGCGAGCGCACGCTAACCATTCAGCCACCCAACCCCCCTATTTGATAGAGAGTGATGAAACTAAATGTGTATAGTTTGATTGCTCGATACTTTTGAAAAAAAAAATAAATGTGCGATTAATTAATATGTGTCATCTAATTATTTTGGCTTGTTTTATATTATTTTGTCTGTGATAATTATTGGAAACATAATAGGATTACTACAAAGGATATTTAACGTCTATATTATGAGTACGGTAAGTACTTTCTACAAATTGTGTTTATATGGTCAACCGCCAATTTCTCCGTTATTTGAATGTTTTACCTATTGTCTAGTGCATTTATAAAAATTAGTCGAAAATGTAACTAATAAATGTAACTGATATTTTGTTTCATCTCTCCCCCTCTCTCTCTCTCTCTCTCTCTCTCAAACGTTAATGTAACCAAGACCCATAACTCGTTTTGTCACAAAACGTTAACTCCCTTGAGAATGGGAGCTGATCATTTTTTTCAGTATTTTAAAAGCACATGTCCAGATGGTTATATCCTCAAATATCAAACATGGCCTGACTTTCATTGTTGACGAATGAAGTTTTTGTGGTAAGCCTTGTCATATAATGTTAAAATAAATCCAAAATATTGTCTGTAGGATGAAATTTCTTCTGACCCTGAACCACTCTAGCCGAGGTCTATGAATGGGTAAGATAATATATTCAATTATAATTCATACCGTTTATAGATATAATTATTAAAGTGTAAATGGATCTAAGAGAGTCTGTGTTAGATAATGTACTCCCAAGTTATTGTTTATAGTTCTAGATGAGTCATATGTTAGATACTATACCCTCAAGTGATTGTTAGATCTAGAAGAGTCATATGTTAGATACTATACTCTCAAGTTATCGTTTATAGTTCTAGATGAGTCATATGTTAGATACTATACTCTCAAGTTATTATTTATAGATCTAGGAGAGTCATATGTTAGATACTATACTCTCAAGTTATTGTTAGATCTAGGAGAGTCATATGTTAGATACTATACTCTCAAGTTATTGTTAGATCTAGAAGAGTCATATGTTAGATAATATTCTCTCAAGTTATTGTTTATAGTACTAGATGAGTCATATGTTAGATACTATACCCTCAAGTTATTGTTAGATCTAGAAGAGTCATATGTTAGATACTATACTCTCAAGTTATTGTTAGATCTAGAAGAGTCATATGTTAGATAATATTCTCTCGAGTTATTGTTTATGTTTTATAATTAGGCTACACTATGTTCACCACAGAGAGGGTAATGTCCGTTGTAGTTGACATATTCAATACAATAAATAAGTAGGTTTTAAATGTAGTTTGTTATTTATTATAATAAATAATTTCTCCGTTAAAGAACCCATGTTTATGACAACTGAGACTCGTTTGGACCAGACATGATATCAGGAAACGCTTTTATTTGTAATAATAATAAGGAATTTATATAGAGCCTCTCATCTAGAACTGTTCTACTCAATGGCGCTGAGCTGCAGTGTGACGTTTGGTATTTTCACAATTAAATAAGTGGGTCTTTAAGCATGATCTAAATGATTCTGTTGTTCTGGCTTCAGGAATGTGAATATTAGCATAATTTACATTTTACAACAATGGGTTTGAGGCGTTGTAAGCGCTACCGCGGGCCCAGAACAATTTTTGTGGACAAGTTTAGTGATAAAGATGTTGAAAAGTGGATCCAGTTTCTCATTGCAGTCAATAGAGTATCTATATACACACGGGGTCAGGTCCTGGGTAAAAAGCAGTAGACAAGATGTTGGGTGCTGCGGTTGGAAAAGAATACCTATATATTAATCTCATAACCGTCACCAAGTCGGTAACCCGAACAGTCGGATACATTTGTAGCAAACAAGAAAACAATGGTATATTTTTATAAAGTTCATTTAACACGAAAACACCCACTCTTGTGCTGCACATGATGGAAAACCAACCGAAAACAAAGGAAATGGTATATTTTTAATAAAGTTCATTTAACACGAAAACTTTCCTTCTTGGGCTGCACATGCTGGAGAACCAATCGGTTCGCATATACCTGCAAGAATTATAGAAAGAAAGAGATTATTCGTTGGATTATGTTTATCCTAATAAAGGTAAGTATGTAGTTATGGTAAGAGGGCAAACAGAGAGTTACCACTAACACCAAAAGAATTGCCAGCGGTTCAGGTTTGCAACCAGATGAATACAGTTGTGTTTGGTATTCACAGGGTTGGTTGTAGGTCAATGTTTCTCTTCTATTGGCTTTGGTTTGAAAAATAGATCTCTGTGAAAGGTGAATAGGAGATGTGCTAAAGTTAAGGGCTTAATTTTGATCACGTGTCTGAATGTCGCTGGTTGATGTCGCTGTTTGATTTTCGTTTCTGTGTAATGTTGACGGGTTTCAAATGGGGATACATCTTTGTACATGGCGCTCTCGTTTTTATTAGTCGGTGATTTGGAAGACCTCGTTGTGGTCGGAAATGCCGACCGGTGGCACAGCAGATTTTATTGAGAAGCTAGCTATAAAACTACACGGGAATCTTTATACGTGATTGTCATTCAGGTTTGGGGGATGGGCTACTACGTTGGCCCCTTCGCTAGCTACCTAGCCTTTAACCTGTGTAAATCTTAGCTCCCAAATGAATTGGCGACAAGAAAGGAAGTGAGCACGAGCGGCAATTAGCAACACCTTAGGGTAAGAGAGAGGGTAATGGAGTTTAATGTCCACTTGGTCATATCGGGACTAATAAATGGTTCAATCTTTATTTCATTAATTCGCTTGCGAATATGGGTCTTTTAGCAGTGATAGGAAACCGAAGGACGCGGAGAAAACCTACGAGGTTGGACATGCAACCCTACTCCTTGTCGCTACTAGCGGGGAATCGAAACCACTCCCACTTGACCTTATGATGCAACGTACACGCTTTAACCTTTCGGCCTGCCCCTGGGGTAAAAATAAACATCGTGCCATTATACCTGGATGACTGGTAGCAGCTCGGAGATTAGCATTCGCAGCCGAAGCAGCGTACCAATCACAAAACGGATCACCCAGTTCCTGGCCATTTGTTTTTCCATCACCATCACTATCAGCATTACATAAAGCTATAGTCCACCGCTGATAATTATTGTTGAAGTCCTGTATAAAAATTAAATAGACATAAAAGACATGTCTGTTTCTAGAGACGTAGCTCCAAGGAACGTTTTTGTATATAAATATATACTATATGGCATTGTATATTATATTGATATGACCTAAAGAGATTCACGAGAACTCAAAACTTTAGCCAGAGTTCTGCCATATTCCTGAAGCAATGGCCTGAGAAATTCCTCCTTGGCCATTGCTGGATTGGCTTCTGATACTTGAGCTTTTAAGGGAGTGTGTCTATTCTTCCCGTTCAATCAAATCTATCCGAAGTACAGCAACATGACAGCCCTTCGTTTAATTTGGGGTCTTCCCTAAAACTTTAGACAGTGATTTAAGGTAGTAAAAACAGAGAAAGTCTTGTTCGTCCACATACAGTATTGTTTACAATTTATCGGTGTTGATAGCCTCGTTTGTCACGCAATATTGACCAGTCATAATTTGGAACAGAAATTTGCTTCCATTACAGCAGTGTTTAGTGGGATTAGCTCTAATCAAACGAAACACTGTGGGGAGTATGGAGTTCTGTGTTTGTCTCTTTTTTCATGATAATTTGTAATTATCATTTAATGAACCTACATATCAGCTAAATAAAGACGTAAAAGTAGTTGTTTTTTGTTAACAGGATATTATAACATAGTTTGATTCAAAAGAAATAAAAGATATTCTGGATTCAACATTTTATTATAACATATACAATAGTATCAAAATACTAAATATATGAGAAACCCTTCACTGGTGAGAGCAACCAAAGCTCGTCCTGGCTTATATCCAAAAACATAACACAATTTATACTATATAAATATGGTACATTCAGTGGTGGGTAATGGTCGAAGACTGTCCATTATGTAAATAGAAAGAAGAACCGAGGGACCTTTGTTAAATTAAACAATAGTATGGTCAATTAAAGGACATCGGAGATTGTATCACACAAGCTGTAATGTGATGATTCTAATCTTTTACCTGTCACTGTCGTTCATATTATGTAACAGTATTTTTGTATGTGTATATGTCAGCAACCAACATAAAGAAATTAAATGGGGTTTAACGTCGTTTTATTCTTTTTCTCTACCAATGGGGATAAGTAAGACTGACGTATAATGTCCGGACTGCGGTCCTGCAGCCTACTGTTATTTCGATTTCCAACGGTTAGGATATCCCCAACGTGACGCCAATGATACTGCAGATGAAGAATCACATCAAAAAGGAGCTGATGTTGGATTGTATGATCAAGTCAAAGATATTGGGAGACGTCAGAAATGAAGTGAAATGGGGTTTAACGTTCTACGTTTCTGCACCGCCTGGGGTAATGAAGAGGGGTAATTACCATGCAGTGTGCTATGAAGAAAAGTTTGCCCGGACAGCGGCGCTAAGTGGACGCCAACGTGTGCACTGGTCCTCGGATTTTTGTCCTACCCGAACGATTAGACACTGCTCCTTGCCAGAGTATCTGTTCATAACCACCGAGAAGGAGAAACCACGACTGAAAATCCGGAGGGACTTTCTCGGCCAAAACCGGTAGTGAACCCGAATCTCCTGGTTAGCGAGCCAACGTCTTATACGCTGAGACGCCACGAATCCATTTTTACGTTAGTATACAACAGCAACAGGGCGAAACTCTGTAGGTCATTCTATATACACAAGGAAATGGAAAATACTTCACATTGTTTCGACAAAGCATGAATATGGATACATTACATTAAAAACTTACAGTTCCGAACGGGTTTAAAGTTCCACCGCCTTTAGAATTATAATGTCCGACGCCATTCCAATATCCAGATCCACAGGGGTTTGGTACAGCAAAGCCATTAGGGAAGTTATTGCGAAAATTACTTCGTCCAAAAACCACACAAAATAAACAAAAAAACAAAATAGTTTTTAACATTCTTATTTTTAGATATTAAAATGGTCTAGATAAAAAAAATGATCTATTTAAATAGTATCTATTTATATATGGTATACAATATGGTCCCGTTTTCGATAAAGCTTTTGTGTGACGTCAAACACATAGATAACTACCGATTCGTGATAATTGGTTTGCGATATATATATATATATATATATATATATATAGAGAGAGAGAGAGAGAGAGAGAGAGAGGGAGAGAGAGAGAATGTGTGTGTGTGTGTGTTTAACAGTGGAAGGATATCAAGGAAGCTGGACAGGCGAACCTGCTCCTTGCCATGTACAAGCGGGGAATCGAAACCACGCCACTTAACTCAATGACAGAACTTAGGATCTAAACCATTCGGCAAGAAAACCCTCGATTGAAAATTAGACCAGGATCGCTATTTGTTTAATGTTAATGGGAACGCCTGTGGCTAAATCTGTCCTTGTATCACCCTGGGCCCTTATTCACGAAAACTTAAACTAAGATACAATCGAAATTTTAAGAAATACTGCAATTCGATTGGCTGACAGTAAAATCAATTTGCATATATCCAATGAAGTTGCAGTATTTCTTAAAATTTCGGTTGTAACTTACTTTAAGTTTTCGTGAATAAGGGCCCTGATGTTCGAAATCACTGGTGGTTTCAATATACGATCGTAAATATAGCAAACATAATTTCTGAACGTTTCCATTTCCCAGAATTTGCCAATCTATTCCTCCTTTTTTTATATTTAAATTCTTGTAACCGGAAATTGTATCATTTCCATAAAATCTCCAAACTTATTTTGGAAAATTTTTTTTTCCTTTTTTTAAACGAAAATTAATTTCTAACTTCCTTCAACAAATGACATTGACTACTCCGCCCCCGCCTACACTTTTTCGATTTCCAACTGCCAACGGTTATTTTATTGTCACGCCATCTTCGAATACCCTTGTGAACCTCGGTTTTTCGTCCAAATCAGAACTGATTGGAAGTTTTCCCTTGACAGACCCAGTCCTACGCACTCCTCTGACATGGTGCACCTTCTCGCGCAACCTGTAACTATAGCAATTAAATTTACGAGTATGTTGCTTTCAAAGTCATATTTCTAAGCAGATGACATGAAATGAATTGAAATGGGGTTTAACGTCCTACTGTTCTGCTCCTATACTGGGCTAATGAAGACGGGCATACGCCATACAGTGTATAAGGGAAATTTTGCCCGGGCAGCGGCACTATCGTCTACTCTTATGTCGAATTCCAACTGCCAGGGGATCTTTTACGTGCATTCCAATATATACATTGGACCTCGGTTTTTCGTCTCATCCGAAGGACTAGACAGCTGTCCTTGTCAGGTCCTCCGTCCTGCATCACTGACAAGGGGGAACCACGCCGGAAAATCTGGATGAACTTTCTCGGCCAATGCAGGGATCGAACACCCGGCCTCCAGGCTAGCGAGCCAGCGTCTTACCTACTTAGCCACGTGATCCCCTGTAAGCAGATGACAATCAAAATGGCGTTTGTTTACAAGTTATCGCAAGATAAATAATTGATACTGAACGGAGAGTGTTCTATGAACGGGGCTTAAATTAATGGATTTCTAAATGAATTTTAATATTTAGCACTTGTGTTTATTAAAACCAAATTATTCTGATTTCGGATAAATTTATGTCTACGTAAACATATTTAAACGACCTAATTAATATACTGAAAATTTCATTCAAATTACTCAATTCTGAGCGATGTTATCTATGTTTGAAGTTTATTATCACAGCAACGTCACTTGTTAATCGAGACTTTTCCATTTTTAAATTAAATCATTAATTGGCGATCGTATTTTAATCTGTTTACATCTGCACCATCCGATGGTCCAGAGAGTTGCTTATAGGCTTGTAATGTTAATAAATGAAGTTATATATCATTTAAAGCCAAAATAAAACCCTGTAATAGACAGATTTAGCAAAAATGAAATGAAATGGAGTTTAACGACCTACTGTTCGGCTCCGACTGGGCTAATGAAGACGGGCATACGCCATACAGTGTGCTCTGAGGGAAATTTTGCCGGCACAGCTGCACTATTACCTACTCTTATATCGAATTCCAACTGCCAAGGGATATTTTACGTGCATGCCAATGTATACCCGGGACCTCAGTTTTTTGTCCCATCCGAAGGACTAGACAGCTGTCCTGCACCACTGACAAGGGAAAACTACGCCGCAAAATCCCGATGAACTTTCCTCACATTATGCATCTTTAAATCAACTATTATTTCACGAAATATGTCGGTCACAGTTTAAACGATCATAAACTAAGGTTATCAATGATGAGAACAGGAAATCATCTCAGTAATTATTGGAAATACGATAGACAAACATATAGCTACAAGATGGCCAGTTATTTTCTCTGAACTTGCCAGATGTACGTGAAATATTCTCCTCACCAGCACGTGACTCCAGCGCTTTCTACCGTTAACTGTTCCCGTTGATGAATGCTGGCATTTGGATGTTCTATTTGACATTGAATGGGAATCAGCTGTAAGATATAATCTATATTAAACCCGTTATACTTCATTACGTAAGTTATTAGTCTTTATTTTATTCATTGAGTTTCACTTATTTATGGCGATGAAATCAATCATTATATTATGCGAAATGAATTTGGGGTTTAACGTCCATATTATCGGCATTAATTTGTACAAGGGGCGTCGGTAATTTGTTCCATCCTAACACCTAGACGCAAATTTCTAAAGTACCGCAATGGGCACAATATAAGCTTATTCAGATCCATCCTACTTTTCTATGAAATTAAGACTTAATACAGTAATGAGCATAGATATAAGTTTAATCAGATCCATCCAATTTTTATAAGTCAAACACTAAATTTCAATTTGCAAAACATCGGTCTAAGACAGCTTATATCTTTTTCTTAATCTAATTTACTTACATGTACTTCATATACAAAACAAAATGAACACATTTCTCTTATTTTAACAAACTGCACTAGTATTGATTTTAAGCATTCTGGTTCAAACACAGATCCTATTTCGTTTCGTTTTTATAGTTCAAAATTTCGTTTTACTTGTCTTTACTTCATGTAGTGTAGGCCATCGAAAGTATAAAAAAAACGAAACGAAATATAGATCTGTATTTTAATCAGATTGTGATTTTAAGATTCAGTTATTTAACTCAAATGTTAGAAGTCTATTCTCAGTTTATCTTCTGATCATTATTAAAACTTAGTAAAATAAAACTGGTAACACAAGGCTACGGGTCTTACAGTGCACATATCAAACTCATTTTAAAGATGCATTATGTATGATTTAGATAAAGAGCTTTAAGTTCTTGCTTTAATAGGTTAAAAATAGATAATAAACATTAATATGTAGAAACTTTCAGTCACATTACTTTATTCCAAGCAAAGTTTCGGTTGTCCATGTTAACGTTAACCCATTAAATGGCGCAGATGGTCCAACCAATTTAATATCTAAGCCATTCGATATTCTAGAGATTGATTATGGGCTTGTCGTGTGAATAAATGTCTAAATATTAAATATTGGTCTTATCAATTTAATATCTAAGCCATCCGATGTTTTAGAGAGTTGATTATGCTTGTCATTTGAATAAATGTCTAAATAATAATGATCTAACTATTTATATATTTAAGCCATTCTATGGTCTAGAGGGTTAATTATGGGTTTGTCATGTGAATAAATGTCTAAATATTAATAATGATCTAACCAGTTTTATATTTGAGCCATTATATGGTCATGTGAATATGGTCTAGAGGGTTAATTATGGGTTTGTCATGTGAATAAATGTCTAAATATTAATAATGATCTAACCAGTTTTATATTTGAGCCATTATATGGTCATGTGAATAAATAATAATGGTTTTACCAATTTAATATCTTAAGTCATTCGATGATCTAGAGAGTTGATTATGGACTTGTCATGTGAATAAAAATGTCTAAATAATAATGGTCTAACCAGTTTAATATCTAAGCCATTCGATGATCTAGAGGGTTGATTATGGCCTTGTCAAGCGAATAAATATCGGATTTATAACTGACCTGCCATAGGTAGATTTAGCTCTTTATGCTGCCATAGCCAGTTTATAGGTAATTTTATTGTACTGGATGTCAATTGATATTCATATGGTTCTTAATCCAATCTGATTAAAACACAGATCCTATTTCGTTTCGTTTTTTATAGTTCAAAATTTTGTTTTACTTGTCTTTACTATACAAGTGGAGGCCATCGAAAGTATAAATAAAAACGAAACGAAATAGATCTGTATTTTAATCAGAATGGTTCTTAATCCCATCTATTCAAATTATTTTATTTTAAATATTTTTATCATTCAGATATATTTTGTTGATATTTACTTGTATGTAAATCGTATTGGAGCAGATCGGCAAAGTAATTTGTAATTATATACTGTGCAATGTTTCTAAGAAAACATCCAAAAACCGTTGATGTTCTTCCAATTATTCATGACATTCTTTGTAAACTGACATGGTATATTAATTTTAATTTTTTTTTTCTTTCTAAAATGTGTTTCTTTAGATACTTCTAGAGACCACGTGTTATTCAACTTATACTGCGTATCGGTGTGTTCTATGCTGGGTAGTAGATCGCGTGGCTAAGTGGGTAAGACGCTGGCTCGCTAGCCTGGAGGTCGGGTGTTCGATCACTGCATTGGCGGAGAAATTTCATCCAGATTTTCCAGCGTGGTTTCCCCTTGTCAGTGATGCAGGACGGAGGGTCTGACAAGGACAGCTGTCTAGTCGTTAGGATGGGACGAAAAACCGAGATCCCGTGTACACATTGGCGTGCACGTAAAAGATCCCTTGGCCGTAGCGCCGCTGCCCGGGCAAAATTTCCCTCATAGCACACTGTATGGCGTATGTCCGTCTTCATTAGCCCAGTTTAGGAGCAGAACAGTAGGACGTTAAACCCCATTTCATTTCATTTCTATGCTGGGTAGAGTTAAGGAGCAGAACAGTAGGACGTTATACCCCATTCATTTCATTTCATTTCTATGCTGGGTACAAGCCACGGTTGCTCGGTGAGTCTGGGTGTTCGATCTCGATTCGCAGATTGATTGAGAAAGTTCCCCAGGATTTTCCAGGCTGATTTCCCCTTTTTTATGGTACAGAACGGAGAGTCTGGCTAGGAAAAGCGCCTAGTCGTTCGGATGGGACGAAATTCCATTGACAGCACGTTAAAGGTCCCCTGTTAGTTGGAAATCGCAATAGGTAGGAAACCTGTACCAAGAATACCAACGGTTTTCAGAAGTAATATAGTGGCTACGACTTTAACGTCTTCTTCTTCTTGGTTGTTTTACTTGTTTAACGTCCGTTTAAATAATAATAATATCGTAGACAAAATGTGACGTCTTCTATAATAGTTATTACATGAACCCTGAATATCGGTCCATGGTTATTATATCGCAGACGGTTTTCACTAAATGAACCCAAAATCACGTGACTTAATTATCTACTTGTGATTGTGCACAATGTGTGGGCTGATTAAGTGGGCTGCTACCACTAAATTATGCTAATTAAAAATAATCCTTTCTAATTAAGACCAATAAATGTGCTCCCCTTGTCTTAGTTCTTTCTTAGATACATAGACCGTTAATCTAGATACGTAATATTACATAATAAATAACCCACAGCACGTGCTGTGGAATATTAACGATATATTTATCACATCTGCCTCAACAACTGACTTCTGCTAGAAACAAATTCCCCGGCGCGTGCTGTATATTTAGCTCGTGTTACTCACGTGCCTATAAAAGGAATGGCTCTGCTTATTCTTTTCACACTCCTTGTATATTTTCTGAGACTGTTCCATTTTGGCACCAAGGGTAAACTTTATTGGCCAACTTTCAAAACAATAAATTTCGAAAGTAGTTGATGACTTCTGAATTCAAAATTTTAGAACATTTATCGTTTATAGAATCTCCGCAGAACTTGTTACGGGTTTTATTTTAGAAACCGGGAATTATCTTATAGTTCCACTTTCGGTACCACTTGCATCCCCAATCAAAGGCATGAAATGTTCTGATTAATAGTAACGGTGGCAACAGGGCCGTTATCATCTGAAAACCCCGGCTGTTGCAGACGTCAAACTTTACGTACATTCCACTAACACACTCTGGCGGCCATCTTGTTTCGACTGAAAGGTAAGGAAATTAACTTCATGCATGAAAATTACAAAACAATTAAAATGAGTCGATTTGTATTATTACAAGTTGGAAAATAATTTTTAAAATAATAACTGTATTCACTTAATTTGGACGTATGCTTCAATGCGTCATGTACGGTCACGATATGGTACGTTTATTATATTTTGACCTTGTCGGTGATTTTCCTGTATGATAATATCATGTTTTCTTGGCATCTTCAAACAATAGTCCTAAATAATAAATTTAGTTCCGAACAATTGCGTCAAACACTCGGAAAGGTCAATGAATCCAAAGTAAATATACTTGTTATTATGATCTACATTTGATTTAGCTTTAGATAAAGGGATTACCCGGCCATTACCTTTTTTTTAACTAGAATATGATGATACGTGGTACATAGGAGTTATTTAGTGACAGGCACTGAATGGCTCTAATGGTCTAATGCATTGTTTATTTGTATTTTGTAAATTATCTTACTGTTATTTAATAAAAGCTACATTTGCTATAGAATCTGTGCGTTGCGATTCTGTAATATGAAATAAAGGCTATATTTTTTAGAATCTGTTCAGTTGCGAATCTGTAATATGTAATAAAGGCTATATTTGTTAGAATATGTACAGTTGCGAATCTGTAATATGTAATAAAGGCTCTATTTGTTATAGAATCTGTGCAGTTGCGAATCTGTAATAATCTATAGTTTTCTGCTTTAAGTAACAATAAAATATAGACTATAGTTTTCAACAACATAAGTCTGGATGCGGCAAAATATGACATTAAAGACGATCGGCACAGCGAGAACATCCCGGTCCGACGATTTGAACAATTTATTCCTCCCTTTTATAAGATGTGGCAATTTAAAGCGAAATTCTTTCAAAAACAAAAATATAGCCTACTTTTAACTCTATGTCAAAACAACTGAAGTATTATTACGGAAGTACAACAAAACTGTATTAGCCATATGTACTTAGAAGAGCTATAGGTAGTTTGGAAGCGTACATATGGCCTTGTGTATGACATCCACCGCTAACGTTAATGGAATTAAATTGTTAGTTATCTGGAATCCAGGGAAGGGCGTATCATATTCAACACTACGATGGTTTATACGACTCCAGTAAGATCTTGTTGTTCACGATTTAAAAAAAACAACTAAACAATTACCCCATTGTAATATTGCTAGGTGTTTCTGAAATTAAACTGGCATTTAGAGAGAGAGGGAGAGAGAGAGAGAGAGAGAAATGAGGTTTAACGTCCACTCGACACAAACTAGGTCATTTCGGGACTAACATATGGTTTAATTTTATTTCAATAATTCGCTTGCGCGTAGGGGTCTTTAGCAGTGGGAGGAAACCAGAGGACCCGGAGAAAACCCACGCGGTTGGATAGGCGACCCTACTCCTTGTCACGTACAACCAGGGATTCGAAACCACGCCAGTTGACTCAATGACAGGCCTTATGAAATGCTAACCATTCGACCCCCCCCCCCCCCCTGGCATTTTGATCTCTTGATCTATACCACGTTTTTTTTATTGTATATTAATTTACATATATATAGATTATTCCTGAAAAATATTTATTGCACACATAGAATATTCTCGTTGTTTACTTTTAGGTCCCGTGCTTTCTTTTAAAATGTAATAGTTTACTTTATTATCGTTACTAAGCCTTCAAAATTTGACTTGCCGAGGTATTGTTTTCAATGGTGTCGTGCACGAGATGAGTAGTACTGTTTTACAGAACAGCAGACATCACATATTATTGCTAATATAATATATTAATTTGGAATTAAGATTATGGATTAATTCATCTATTCTATGGTATCTGTATTCATTTATTATTTATTATCTTCATAGCCCAGTCGGTGCAGAAAAGTAGGACGTTAAACCCCATTTCATTTCAGTTTATTTATTATTTGTTCTATCTTTCATTTGATTTTGTACTGTTTGGACACGGTGTCACTATATCGTGTTGAAAGAATCTAGTTCTCCAAAATACCTTTATTCAAATGAACAGAACATTTAAAGCCGTTTAAAACCATTTTCTTATCCGAAGCAAACCATTTAGCTTATATTTATCTATGTCATTTCTTGAAGCACAGGGCCATGTTCTTGTGTGTACACTAGAACTACACTGTGTCTTTTGGACTACCATTATGTAACGAGGACGTGTTACAATATTATGATTATTATTAAACGGCTAACCAAACAATAATGATATAGGGATACAACAGGGCTGATAACTTAGACTATTTCTGTTCTTACTATTTCATGGCGACTTTTTACAATAATATGGTTGATGTACGCGTATAAAGTGACATGTGTCACATAATATGATTAACGGTAAATGACATACAGTTACAAAAGGATATATGTATCACATATAATTCCCGATAAAAGGCGTAAGCTTATAAAGCAAAATGCATCACATAATATGGTTGACGTTAAAAGACGTGCACTTATAAAGAAAGATGCATCACATGATTGGCGACATGTATCACATATGGTTGACGAAAAAGACCTACGCTTATAAAGCGACATGTATCACATATGATTGACGATAAAGATGTACGCTTATAAAGCGACATGTATCACATATTATTGACGGTAAAGATGTACGCTTATAAAGCGACATGTATCACATATTATTGACGGTAAAGATGTACGCTTATAAAGCGACATGTATCACATAGGATTGGCGATAAAGATGTACGCTTATAAAGCGACATGTATCACATCTGATTGACGATAAAGATGTACGCTTATAAAACGACATAATATGGTTGACGCTGAAAGTGATAAATATTACATATATTTTCTATAGTTTATAGCCCAGAAGCCAATAAACGTGTAAAGGTATTCAAGGCTGTTATCATTCGACCAATATACTATAGATATAAATGTCAGAAGTTAAAGTAGAGCTTGTAGGATATTGGCCAGTAGCCAGGTTAAAATGCCGGTCAGCTCTTCTTTCATTCAAATAAAACACATATAACCTTTCTTATAGCCTACCGTGTAATGTATCCGTCTCACATATTCATCCAAGACAATTTATTATATATATATAGAATGTACGTGGGTAGGAGATAGATTAGGGTTTTAACGTTTTGTCTAGGTACTATATTTACTGTCAAAATATTTATCCCAGATATAGGACTTGTACCACCTGTATGCGTTCGTTCGTTACTGGAGTTTTATCTCCACTTCCAACTAGGGTTTTATCGCAGACAAGACCTGTATACCGGAAACAGTCGTTTCAATAGGCGATTCGTTGGAAGTCCATGAAAAATAGACCCAAACCCCCATAGCACATTACACAATGTTTACCCGCCTTCATTAGTCTGTTGGTGCAGAACAGCAGGACGTTAAACCCCATTTCATTTTGTCTCCAATATGACATAAACATCTTCATGGTGGTTTAGTGAGTAAGATGTTGTATTACCTTGACCGAGAAAGTTCATCGAGATCTTCCGGTCTGTTTCCCTTGTCAGTGGCGCAGGACTAAGGGCCTGGTTTGGCTTCTCCGCTTGTACGTGACAAGGAGAAGGGTTCTTCGGTTTCCCCCCCCCTCCGCTGAAGACCCCTCCCTACACTCAGGCGAATTATTAAAATCAATAATTGAACCATTTTTGTGTCGAGTGGACGTTAAACCCCATTTATCTCTCTCTCCAACAATGCGTTTAATACCACGTATGTGTTAATACATTTGGAGATCGGTACAGATAAGCCAGAAGTTGGAACAACATCAAATTTATGAATGTTAGAAATAACAGACAACAATATTGACACCCGATGTTGATTGTTTTATGATTATTCGGGGTGGTTTTGCCAGACCTTGGAAGTGCCTGACGTATATTCATTATACCTACATGTATACAGTGCTTTATCATGCAACGAATTGTAATTGCTGATGGAGCAAATTTATGACGATATCTGTAGTCTTACCTACATGTATACAGTGCTTTATCATGCAACGAATTGTAATTGCTGATGGAGCAAATTTATGACGATATCTGTAGTCTTACCTACATGTATACAGTGCTTTATCATGCAACGAATTGTAATTGCTGATGGAGCAAATTTATGACGATATCTGTAGTCTTACCTACATGTATACAGTGCTTTATCATGCAACGAATTGTAATTGCTGATGGAACAAATTTATGACGATATCTGTAGTCTTACCTACATGTATACAGTGCTTTATCATGCAACGAATTGTAATTGCTGGTGGAGCAAATTTATAACGATATCTGTAGTCTTAATAGACCGACAAAGTATGCTACAGATTCCATGTTCCAGGTGGCAATACACATCGTATTATTACCTGGATATTCAGCAGAATAAAAAAGGGCAAATTAATGATAATCACTTATCAACCGTGCAATCAGTTGTGATCGCATTGTATTATGTCTGGCGTAGACAAATTATACAGTCGGAAACATTTCACAAGCTAGCTTTCAGAAAGATTGCTGCTACTGCTGTCATGGCAACCTTGCTACTGTAGCTATTATCAAAGTCAGACTTCTTTGACAATGTCACAAAGTTGAAATTCTTGAAAACAAAAAGTTTATTGATATCAAATATTATAGTTAAATGGTTGTCCAAGAATTATTAATGGCAGTTGATGAACGTTAACACTTAACACTAGATCTGGCTAGGGGGATTGGATGGCCGAATGGTTACCACGTGCGCGCTGTATCATACGGTCTGTCATTGAGTCAACTGCCGTGGTTTCAATTACCCGGTTATACGTGACAAGGAGTAGGGCCGCCTGTCCAATCTCGTGGGTTTTCTCCGGGTCCTCCGGTTTCCACCCATTGCTAAAGACCCCTACGAGCAAGCAAATTATTGAAATAAAATTGAACCATGTTAGTCCCGAAACGACATAGTTTGTGTCGAGTGGACGTTAGTCTCTATCTCTCTCACTCTCTCCTCCCTCTTATCTGGCTGGAATTTGTCGACACCTGGGAAGTGTATAGGTAATGAAATGGGGTTTAACGTTCTCCTCATGAAGAATCGTATACGTCATGAAGTGTGCTATGTGATTAGTTTTACGCCTATCGTATTTTAACTGCCAAGGTTTGTGTTTACTTCACTTTAAGGTGTACAGGGGTGGGTGGACTTCAAGTACTTGGCAAATCTCTGAAAACGATGTTGTTCTGTTAACTGTTTTTGTTTATTTATTTTTGTACGTATGTATGTATAATCAGTTTGGGTATGTTTATGACATTTTATGCGCACATTACACACACAATCGCCAGCATAGTGTGGTATTTAGGTTAGTATACCCTTGTATTCTAATAGAACCGACTGAATGGTATAGTGTTTTATTCGCGTATAGTTTTCTAACATAGGCCAGTAATGACTATGTTGCGTGGGACTGGGATAAGATGTTTATCGGTATAATCCAGTTACCTTTTCTTATACTCAGTACGTGATGTGTATCTGTAACATATGTTTCTACCTACATCTCGTGCAGCTCGTGTTACAACATGCGAACCACGTACTGGCCGGGTCAGTGTAACCCAATATTCTAACATAAATATTATATGTGGATAAAAGGCCGTGGATGAAGTGTCTGAATCCATGAGCGGCCATATTGCTATAAATGAAATGAAAAGAAATGAAATGGAGGTTAACATCATACTTGTCTGCACCAACTGGGATAATGAAAACGAAATATGAAATGAAATGGGGTTTAACGTCCTACTGCTCTGCTCCGACTGAGCTAATGAAGACGTGTGTAGGTTATGTCATACAGTGTGCTGTTAGGGAAATTGTGCCCTATTCTTATATAGAATTCCAACTGCCAAGGGATCTTTTACGTGCACCACAGACAAAAAGGTGAAACCACGCAGGAAAATCCCGATGAACTTTCTCGGCCAACACAGGGAGCGAACCCGCGACCTCCAGACTAGTGAGCCAGCGTCTTACCCACTTAATACCCGATAAACTAAACCAGAGCTGTAAATAAAATTAAATGAAATGGGGTTGAACGTCCTAAAGTTCTGCACCGACTGGCCTGATGCTATGAGGCCAAGCCCTATTCTCATTTCGGATTCCGTCCCATCCTAACGATTGCCACCACCAAGCCCTATTCCCATTTCGGATTCCGTCCCATCCTAAGGATTGCCACAGAGCCGTTCTCCATCACTGACAACGGGAAACCACGCTGGAAAATCACGAGGAGCCTTCTCGGCCAGCCCTGGGGGCGAACCCAGGGCCTGGTTATTGAGCCAGCGTCTTACCCGCTGCCTCTAAATCTCCGCAAAGCGTGAAAAACGGAAGAAATCGCTATCGATTTATAGCTAGCGTTGTTGGTAAGGTATTATTTTTCCTTCTTTTCTATAACCATAATACATTATCAAATAATAATAAAACTGTTCTCTCTTGTTTCAGTTTTATAGAGTGTCGGGAACTGGTGAATAGACAAACAAAATGTCGGACGACGAATCTCGGTAAGTTATCTCCCCTTGCGCCTTTTATTGAAATTCCGAAACATTCCAATCTGATTAAAATAAGATCTATATTTCGTTTCGTTTTTTTATACTTTTGATGGCCTACACCATGTAGTAAAGACAAGTAAAACGAAATTTTGAACTATAAAAAAACGAAACGAAATAGGATCTATGTTTTAATCAGATTGGAAACATTTAATAATATAAAATGAAATATAATATAATATCTCTTACAAACAAATAAGCAGCGTTCATGCAGGGGAATTGTGTGTGTCTTTCTTCTATTAACTATATTTTAAAATAATATTTCTTCATTGTATAATTTCATTAAAATGCATGAATAATCTAATTTTGTTTAAACTTTCTTTTCAATTATTTCATATGTTTAAAATCATGTTTACTCAATGTTGAATTTGCATATTGATGTCAAAGGAACAGTTTACTCATAATATTAAAGATGTGTTTTATTGCATCAAACTATGACGTTTATTGGAATCCATCATGGATAAGGGTAACGCCCCTTAAAGTGACAATATAAGGTCAATATGGGCTGACACTGGGTTCTTTTTTACTGTGTGAAGTGTTCCTTTCAAGTTAAATTCTTGTTTTGTTGTGTTTGTCCTTTTGTGTACCACGTTATAATTATATGTGTTTATCTTTTCATTGAACTTTATAGCGATGCCGAGCAGTAAGTATTGCCACCCATATACGCTATATTCTTTCGTACACCCGCATGGTTGTAAGCGTATAAGCACCGGGGGATTTTATAATAAATATGTTACGATAAGATTGGTTTGAATAGAAGACACTCTCAATCTGGTTAAACAACGGGTGGGTTAAAGTTATGGGCCCTTGACAAGCAAAATCAATATGGTGTAGTATTTGATATGCAATATGTATTATATTCAAGCCTGGAAATAAGACACCTACCACAATATCAAGCACTTTCTTATTCTACAGGGGTTTTTTTTAGTTATGTTTCTAATACCTGACCGGCCCAAAGTCCAAAATGCCTGATAGTTTGTAAGGTACAGCAAATATCATTATATTCAGGCCTGATTATAGTCATTATCTTCCTTAAGAACCCAATTCGTAGCCACGCGATCATATTCCTGAAATCAAGCGAATACTAGTTTGACCAGATTGAGAGCTCGTCATCTGTTGTAATCATAGACCAATATAAAACTCAATATTTTAGATAAAAGTCAATATGTATCAAAAACTAACAATTCCAAAATGGCGTCTTTTAGGTTTGAATTTTGGCGCCAAAAATGAACAATCACATTCTTTAATTGCCAAACAACAAAATAATTCAAAAAGTATATTGATATCTCCTTAGAATCTGTAAAATATGACTAGGTGTCCAAATAGAACCCATGATCACACTCTTCCAGAATTTACAATTATCTTTATATTGAACAAAGTTTCAATAAATTTAAACTACAACTCAGACGCCATTTTTGTGAATGTGATATCTGTCATTGAACGGTATAGCCGTATATACAATCGTCTGAAATTGATATTCTTCCTAGATAATGTGCTTACGGGATCCAAAGGGTGATGAATGGAGAATCAAAAACAGTATCCTTGTTCAGTCTAGATCAAAACCATTCTAGATATCGTTTAAGCATTGTATCTCCCAATTTAATCAAAAAATGTTTTATTCCGTTTCGTTCTATGTCACAGAGTCATTATGACGTATTTAAATATTGTGTTTCACTGGTTATTCTATTCTAGAGACAATATTTTAGCCTCGAAGGACCAGTCTGTTTTTGTCTTATGTATACGTGTGTTCATTACTAATCTCTTTATGTCGTAGTGGTCAGAATACAACCAAACTAATCTGGTTTCTTTTAAATAAATGACATCCATTTGAAGAGCTCTTTTCCAACATGTAGCCAGTTGTGTCCTGCATAAGTATGCCACAAATTATTATCCTAAAATCTTTGATGTACATTATGATCAACGGAATCAGCAATGGCTGAGTATCATTTTGCAAAAGAGCTCTTTGTGTATATATCATCTGATATTGCAACAATACAATCTATTACGAAAAAGGTTAAGCTTATTATTTTTTCAATAACACTAACAACTACTTAGCATGAAAATATAACTTTTAGAGGTTAATTCCAGTAATCTGTGGTTAATCCACTAGTAACATCAATGCTGATTGGTTAATCAAATATCTGACGTCATAGGGTCATAAGTCGGTTTTTTGACCCCTGACGTGACCTATAGCTATAACTTGTCTGATCTTCATGTAGTTTAGGCCATCGAAATTATAAAAAAACGAAACGAAACGAAATATAGATCTGTATTTTAATCAGATTGATTTTTTGTCAATAACACTAACAACTACTTAGCATGAAAATATAATTTATAGAGGTTAATTCCAGTAATCTTATGAAAGTAATCAGTTTTATATTTTAAAAAGAGTACATCCATTTCGAAACACGGTTCTAGTCCGGGTAACAACACTTGGTTAAAAGATACTAACATGCCTTCATTAAGATAGTGCATCAGTAAAAGTGAAAGTATAAAAACTGCCTCTTGAAAATAATACTAACAATATACTAACTCCTATGTTTAAATTAACTTATTTTAACAGGGAACAGGAAGAGGAGTCATCTGCTCCGTAAGTTAAACGTGGTTCGCTGTTGCACCAAACCCCCTCGGAAAGCCATATGATTTCTTAATCCATATTGTGTTCCTCCTATATATATCCCTCACAACTGACCGAAACCCGTTTGTCACTGTGAACACATGTAATTATGCCCATAGGTCCTTTTTTATATCACACTGGAGAGTCTCCTATTTTCCTATTTTCATCCGAGCTGTTTGCATGTTGATGAATTATTGATATTACAGTGAGAAAACAAAGCAAGTCCAGTAATTACTTGATATATAGATACTTATCATTCAATCGAATTTGAACAATTTTTAAAGATTACTTGCGGAGTTATGGCCCTTAGTTGGGCAAACTAAGACATGGACTACACTTATTTGACATTAACCATATCTTATGATTGTTCCTAGAGGTATGCCCTCCGTAACATCTACTTGGAAATTTCCTGGATTTAGTAAACTTGTGTGCATGTGTATTGATACCCAACAGTTAAGAGCAACGTGGAAGTTTTATGTCCCATTGGTTTCCAGAGACAGCAACACTATGATATCTTTAAAATTTCAATTCAAAATAAAAACTAAATGTCGGTTTGAATTCAACTAGACTGTCTCAGAGCTACTGGCAATGTATTTTTTGCGTTGCTTGGTAACCCTTCGTCTATATTCCTGTCGCACCACCACCCCACCACCCCCGACTCCAACGCTGTAAGAACATTATATCCCTCGACGAATGCAGATGGTTATATCCCGAATACACATTTTGGGTGGTTTTAGCACTTATTTAGACTATTACCTCTGATTTTCAACATTATTTAAAACCACTCTTAAATGCACCCTAATTCACTAAACCGCATTAAATTTACTTTCACCCAATAACTAACCTCTCTAAATCCACCCCTTCTACTTAAGTTGAATTAAAAACTTTCTTTTATCTCCTTTTTATAAATTATTTATTTTGATCATTAATTATTAAAATTTATAGAGAAAATTTGTCTTTCACCCAATAACTACCTGCCTAAATCCACCCTTTCTCCCTTTCTACTTCTGTTGAATTAAAAACTCTCTTTTTTCTCCTTTTTTTAAAATTATGTATATTCATCATTAATTATTAAAATTTATAGAAAAAATGACAATCTCTAATTGTATATATAATTAGATTACAAATATATTAACGGCATTTTATTATTTCTAAAGCATCTTATTAATTAGTTAATTTTTATTATTTAATTATATTGTTAACGAATAGTAGACATTTAAACATAACAGTCATATTCTACTTTCATTTTGTCTACTTCATTAACCAATAATAATTGTTGTTGCTTTTTGTACTGTCTCATATTTCAATGCTTTATTTTAATTCTGCTACCCAGTGCTCCTGTTGAACGCCAAGTGGAATCGTAAGTGTCATTGGCTGTGTAATTCATTTGTTTTCTTATGATTGGCTCGATCGATAACCAATCAAATCCGTTAAATGGCATCATGAAACTACCCGTATGAGTTCTGACTCTCGCCTGAAGTCGATAGTTAAAATGTTATCATTTTAGACATTAAATAAACCATTTCCAAATAATATATGTTTTATAATGTCATATTAGCGGCTTTGTTGGTCTGTGTTTCATCCCTTGGGCTGGGGTAAACGTACACGAGGAAATACAAAATATTATGTTTTTAAAACTCGAAGTGTTGAGTATAAAATTCACATGTCGAAACGGGTGTCGAAACAGCTGATTGTAGAAACAGCAGATTGTCTGTAGAAACAGTTGATTGTCTGAAGAAACAGTAGATTGTCTGTAGAAACAGTTACCATAATTCTACTGTACGAAACAACGGTTTCTAAAATTATTGTCTCTATAAACATTTAATATGGTTACTGTATATAGCAACGGTTACTATGGTGATTGTGTATATGAGTAATTACTATGGTTACTGTAAGTAGCAACTGTAACCATGGCGTTCGTGTGTGTACATTATTACTATGATTACTGTAACTAGCGACGGTAACTATGGCGATTGTGTAGATACACTATTACTATGGTTACTGTAACTAGCTACGGTAACTATGGTGATTGTGCATTTATAATAATTAGTATGGCTACGGTAACTATGGTTCTTGAATATAGACAAAATTGCTACAGTTACTATATGTGACAATAGATACTGTCATTGGCCCCGGGTACACGTTGGCGTGCACATAAAAGAACCAATGACTGTTGGAATACGTATTAAGAACAGGCCGTAGAGCCTTTCCCTTATAGCATGTTGTATGACGTACGCCCGTCCTCATTTGCCCAGTCGGTGCTGAAAAGTGGAACGTTGAACCCCATTGCAATTCATTTCTCTCTCTAAAATGAGTTGCTATGACAACCATCTGTAGGAAAAGTCATCAACCAGAAACAGTGTTAGTTATGACTGGTAACCCGAGTCTTCTGTGCACAGTTACGTTTACTCTTCATTTTTCTTTGCATGAATGTATAATTGTTGTTTGTCAGTCAATTCAATCAATGATCCAATGCAAATAACAAGACGTTATATCCCATGATTACTAATGAAATCGATGCTTTTGGTGTTGTTATTAACATAACTTTTGTTAACGGAACCACACCCATCCACTCGGCACATCCAACTTCAGTGTAATGATGGTTTTCATACTGCCTTTATGGTCTTTAGGAAGAGGAAAGCAAGGTATTTGGCACTGTCATCGGCGCGGCAATGGTGTATTTGAAATTGAATTGTTCTGTAGCGAATATATGATGTGTGCAAACTATGTTATTTATCAGTAAACGTTGGTATTTTTGTTAGGCATCAGGAAACCACTAGATCCTTCAGTCAGTAAGTAAAGGGATATGTCATTTCTTGGCTCCGCCCACTGATTTAATTATAATGGGCAGACCTTAAGATTTTTGGCATGTCGATCCGTATTTCATTCAATTTAAATTAAATACGAACAATTATCTAGGAACTTTATGTTAATATTTTAGATTTTCATGTATTCATTGCGGGTTCAATTAAAATTTTTAGAGTAAGCAAATTCTATGTTAGTATTTTAGATATTCACTTATTCATTGGGTTGAAATATAAGTATAGATTATTCTGTGCAAAAGAAAACCTCTACAAAAAGAAGAAAAATTGAATGAAGTACGTTGTTAGTGATTAGAAGATTTTGGAAATTGCAATGAAATTAGAAACAGAAAAAAACAACGAAAAACGAAATAGATGTCTTTGGGCTGTTTTATTATTATTTATTGAATATTTGCAAATTTTACTGGCAATGTCGTTTTTGGGGAAATGCCTATTAGTGAATGGCAATATATTGAATAAATCCTTAGTGTATTCCTTAGTTTCATCAGCATGTTTAACATTTAAATATGGTTGTATGTGGCCAGCCATGTCCGTCCGTGCTCTGTGAGGTGCCGTTGTGGCTCAATGGGTAAGTCTCTAACTCATTAACCAGAAGGTGTCCCTGGGGCTGGCAAGGACAGTATCCAGTCCTCCGGATGGGACGAAAAACCGAAGTCCAGTGTGCACATTGGCGTACACGTAACAGAACCCATGACAGTTGGAATTCGAAATGCGAGTTGGTCGCAGCGCCGGTAACGGTCCAGCAAAATTCCCCCTATAGTATGTCTGTCTTCCTTAGCCCAATCAGTGCAGAAAAAGTAGGACGTTAAACCCCATTTCGTTTCATTCCATCTCCGTCATCTGGGGGGCACTCAAGAGACAAAAGCTATCATCTGTCTGGCTTTAGCTTTGTATTTGCTCGGGTGCCTGAATTTTGTTTCCCTAATTGACAATGAACCATGCGCAATTCTTATGTCCATGAGACGAAAAGGCCAATTGATTTGTTGTTTATTGTGGCAAAATATACAAAAAAGCCTGTATTTGAATCCTACTGTTCGATATGTAGCCGGGCCGCATTTAAGTCGCCATGATTATGGGAAGGATTGAATAAGGTGTGCATACTTTCAGATCCAAGCATATTCTATAAAAATATCGTAGAGGTCACATTGTATACACGGTGCTTACATTGTTTTTATATCTGGAACGGCATGTTCCTGAAGCAACGATCGCGAGTTTTACACCATCTAACTTGATAAGATGTACGTAGTTAAGGCGAGATTAAGCCTTCTATTGAAGATGCTGGAACGAGGGATTGGATGGCCGAATGGTTAGCGCGTGCACGCTGTATCATAAGGTCTGTCATTGAGTAAACTGGGGTGGTTTCGATTCCCCGCTTGTACGTGACAAGGAGTAGGGTCGCCTGTCCAACCTCGTGGGTTTTCTCCGGGTCCCCGGTTTCCTCCCACTGCTAAAGACCTCTACGCGCAAGTGAATTATTGAAATAAAATTGAACGATATGTTAGTCCCAAAATGACCTAGTTTGTGTCATATATATAAATATATATATCTGAAACGCCTAAATACGGGAATTCTTGAGACATATTCCGTTAACCCCTGTGTTAAATGTGGCCCAGATTGCGATCATTATGCTTCTGTGTCAGTTTGATACGCCCACATAGAAATGTGATCCTATATTGTCGTCGCCTTCATTAGTCTGTCCGTCGGTTTGCGTTTTACTTTGTTGAACTTTGTGAACGTTCTGTTATGTAAGCCATTTTTAAATTAGTAAAACGAAGAAGCCTATCGAATTTAACAATTTTCATTGTTTTAGTTATGGCTCTGCTTTCCCTTTGTAGAACGCCGTGAAGACTCTAATGACAAAAGTATTAATCCGATCTGAATTATGTCTATATATAAATAAGTAAGAAGCCTATCGAATTTCAACAAATTCTGTTAATTACTTCTTGGGTTTTGGCCGTTGTTTTAGTTTCGAACGACAAAAGTGATCATCCAATCTATATTAAATTGATATCAGTTTCGTGTAAATGCTCCCATTACCTACAAAAATTAAATATGCGACACCCCTTGTCGACTGCACGCACGATTTAGCTGCTGTGTGCGTATGTTTCGTTGCCTGGTAACCTATCGTTGCTTGTTTTCCATAGAAGTGTTTTATAATGGTTGTCCAGTTTAATTTTAGTAGTGTTTTTTCAAAATGTTCATTAGTTTCCTTCGCTACACAAGGGAGGCCATCGAAAGCTAAAACAAAAAACGAAACAACGTGCCTAATCAGTAGCTAAATGTATTGATATCTTATCCCCTTTCTCTGTTGTAAATTGTATAAAGTTGGATTCCATTATTAATTAATTAACTAACTAATTAATCTAATTAATTATATATTCCATACATCTAACTAAGTCAATGTACATAAACTAATATAACTGTGAATTATGTTATATTTCAGCATCATACCCTGAGGCACTCGGCCTTTCGTTTGGTTTCGATTAGAGGAAATATAATATTTCAGCATTTTATATGTATGCTAATCACTCGATAGGCATGGAAAACAAAAACGGAATTTATAAAATGCTGATATATACGTGGACGAATTTCCCATTGCAATACCTAGTGATGGTTGCATAAATCCAAAACATTTGATTTAATTGTTTAATATTATGTGATAACAGATCTTTTAATGATTTCAGCGGCGACTCTAATGAAGCCAAAAAGGCTATGGAGGTAAGAAGGGGTATATTTAAATCAATTGATAAACAAAAACACATAAACAACTGGTCTACCCAGAGGCGCGCAGAAGAGGGGGTTGGGGGTCCATTTCCAGAGGCATTCAATTAAGGTGTTTGAAACTCTAATAATTCCAGTGCCATGAAAAAGAAAATACAGAGATGCCGCCCATATGTTCATGCCTCATTGCGATTGGGACACTCACTGATTAGATATTTGGCCAGGTGCAAACGTAATATCTCTGGAGGAGCAGTAGTTATTACACGTATCTTTAAAAACGCCCGTGAACTCGGAACATCGCAAACCTTCTTACTACTGTAATTCTTCGTCAGTTAGATTAAAATTATATGATTTTCTGCTTATATCGCCTCTAGGAAGCCGAACGTAGGAAGAAGGAGAGGATGGCAGAAGAATTGGCTGAGTACGAGGAGATGAGAAGAGCTGAGCGAGAGAAAGAACTGGAAGAACTAGAAGCTCTTAGAATTAAAAGGGTGAGAGAATAACTTCATTAAAAAGGCATTTTGTCTCTTTTTGTTTGTAATCGACATTTTGTGATCGATGATCGACATTTTGACAAATTGCGGTTTTCTTAAAGATATATTCCCTCACAGTATGTGGAGAAAGATCTCCGGGATTTTCCAGCTCGTCAGTGATGCGGGACGAACGAAACCCCGATGGTCTGTGTGCACATTGGCATGCACGTAAATGAATCTTTGACAGTTTGAATTCGGTATTAGAGGAAAAACTTACCCCATTGCACACTGTATGGTGTATGGCCATCTTCATTAGTCAAGTCAGTGCAGAAAAGTAGGCTATAGTGTGCTCCATGTAGCTACACTCACAACTTTATGTATCTTTCAGAAGCATCATACTCATTTCCCATTCATAGCTTGTTACATGTCTTGTTTTTACGCTGCATAAGAGGATCTCGCTGGCTAAGTGGGTAAGACGCTGGCTCGCTAGCCTGGAGGTCGGGTGTTCGATCCCTGCATTGGCCGAGAAAGTTCATCCAGATTTTCCGGCGTGGTTCCCCTTGTCAGTGATGCAGGATGGAGGGCCTGACAAGGACAGCTGTCTTGTCATTCTGATGAGACGAAAAACCGAGGTCCAGTGTACACATTGGCGTGCACGTAAAAGATCCCTTGACATTTGGAATTCGATATAAGAGAAGGCTGTAGTGCCGCTGTCCGGGCAAAATTTCCCCTCATAGCACACTGTATGGGGTATCCCCGTCTTCATTAGCCCAGTTCGGAGCAGAACAGTAGGACGTTAAAACCCATTTCATTTCATTTCTATATCTGAAAGCCGCGGTGGCTCAATGTGTAATGTACTGGCTCGCTATCCAGCGTTTCCGGTGTTGGCCGAGAATGTTCTCCTACATTTTGGAGCATGGTTTCCCCTTGTCAGTGGTGAAGGTGTGAAGACCTGGCTAGGACAGCTACTTGTTGAAATTCGGTATAAGAGTAGGTCACAGAGCCGCTGTCCACCCTTCCCCCATAGCGCACGCCCGTCTTCATTATCCCGGTGGGTTTCGAAATGTAGGACGTTAAACCCCGTTTCATTTTGTATATATCTGTAAATGTTCATTGCCATATTATTATGTTGTTTATTGGTGGTCTGAATCCTGTTCTAGGAAGAACGTAAAGCAGAGAGAATAAAGGAAGAAGCCAAACAAAAAGAATTAAGAGAAATTGAAGACAAAAGACAAAGAGCTGAACAGGTAAATAAAGACGTGGTATTGTTCCTTTCACACCCCAAAATCAAAGATGGCAACAATGTTTTGATACTTTGATTCTCTTAAACTTGGTAGAGTACAATATGTTAGCTTTATATCTATTGCTAGAGAATGAAATATCAAAATAAGGATTTATCCTGGTGGTCTGGGGTAGATTAAGTGAATGTCATAATTTATACTCGCAGTATAGCCAGTATACCCTGGTTGAATCTGAGCTGGCATTAAACACAATTTCATTTCATACCACCACCACCACCACCCCTCCCCCATCCACCCCACAGGACCGGATTGACACCTGTAGATACCTTACGCGTGGTGGCCGCTGATTTAACATACATGTAATATATAAAGGGCGGGGCTGTCATCCCTGGCCAAGGTTTGCCTTTTGTTTTTTGCATCATATCTAAACCACCCGTATAATATAAAGTTTGTCATTATCAGATTAGGAAAGGGTACAGATCAAAATCTGAAACTGAAAACTGCAAACCGCATAGCCCATTTAAGAGGTGTCGACATAATTCGGGGAACAAAAGTGCTCTAAACCACTGGCTGGCCCCTTTCATATACCCTTGCTGCCTAAACCACATAGATATTTTGCGTAATGGTTACAAAACCGTCATTAGTCGTATATTGCGCAAACACTTTGCTTACCTGAAATCATAGCAGAATATGTATAGTACAAACTAGAAATATTTGTTTCTTGTTTCCCAGGAAGAAAGAAAAAGAAAGAAGTTGGAGGAAGAACAGAAAAAGAAAGAAGAAAGAGAAAAAAAACGAAAGGAAGCGGAAGCTAGAATGGCCATTGCTAAAGGTCAACGAAACTTTGTCATCACAAAACGTGAAGGAGAAGGCGTGGTATGTTTTCATTTTATAGTTTCATGTCGCAAGAACATGTAGCTATATTATTAAGTACTGTAAAACCATCAATTAATGTTAGGAAGACAGGTATACCTTAAATGCGATCTACTAAACATTGCATTAATTTCAATACATATATCTATTCTGTAACATAAATAATCAAGGGTGGTTACTTTCACAAGTAAATAAGCATGTTGTCCTTAAAAATGGCTCCCCTAAAACAATAAACTAATCGCCGATCATTGATAAACCATTCGGCCACCCAACTCCCAGTTCTTTTTTCGAATAAAAATCTCTAACATCAATCCAGCCATGTCGTAAAGTTACACAGTTTGTCTAGTTAAATGAAACCTGGTAGCGGTTCAGTGACTATTAGTATCACTAGAGCAAATCTCCCGTCAAAAGTCAAAACCTAGTAACTCACTTTTTTTTTTATCAAAATATAGTCAGTCCAAATTTGTAGTTGCTAGGGCATGTGCTTCCTGTTATTGTACTAGATATTCCAATCTTTTGATTTTGTAAGCAGTTACACCCATGACACAACCTAGAAACTTCCTTCATTTGCCTAGTATCCCACAGAAAAACCTAGTAACTCAACAGTCAAATCAATGGATAAGCTGGGGTTTAATATTCATTCATTACGTTTTCCTTTGTTTTCTCAAAATAAGAAAAACGTGAGTTACTAGGTGTTGTCTTTTGACGGGAGAAATGTTTATATTCAAAAGTATAACAAAAGTCCTCAGACGGGGAACTTTGGCCATGGGTCATTTTAAACTTATAAAGCAACTAATGAATAGTATACTGATCTCTCTGGATTGCCCCATCCAACCGCGTGGGTTTTCTCCGGGTGCTCCGGTTTCCTCCGACTGCTTTCCTCTTGTCAGTGATGCAGGACGGAGGGCCTGACAAGGACAGCTGTCTAGTCCTTCGGATGAGACGAAAAACCGAGGCCCCGTGTATACATTAGAATGCACGTAAAAGATCTCTTGGCAGTTGGAATTCGATATAAGAGTAGGCGATAGTGCCGCTGCCCGGGCAAAATTTTCCTCATAGCACACTGTATGGCGTATGCCCGACTTCATTAGCCCAGGTTAGGAGCAGAACAGTAGGACGTTAAACCCCATTTCATTTCATTTCATTTCCTCCCACTGCTAAAGACCCCTACGCGCAAGCGAATTATTGAAACAAAATTGAACCATATATTCGTCTCTTTTTTTTTTACCCCTCCTTTCTGCTCTCCCCCTTGTGTCAGTTTCAGATGGTCCCTGGTGTGTGATTACCGTTTGGCGCATGCGTAGTTGTAGGAGTCACCTCACACCGTTACAGACGCAGTGTGCATTGACTCCTCGTGATAGGATTTCCCCTAAGATTTTCTTACGGTCAAATCAATTTCTAGATATTATCTACCGATATTTACAGTGCTAAGTACAATTCTATTCTTTCTTTTCACGGAACTGTTGAAGTGAATTAATTGATAATTTCAAGCCAATCATCAATTTGTATGGTTTCCACTGATCGTACGTGTGTAGAACGACTAATCACTAAAAAAAAACAACGGCAACAAATCACGAACGACAGAAGTATCAATTTCAAGCCAATCAACTTAGATCCGTTGATCGTGTAACTACTGATCACTAAAACAACAGCTAATCATGATAACAAGTATTTTTATTAATGACAAAACTCTAATCAAGTACACTTTATACTTTTTCCTGTACTGACCAGTGATCAGGAACCAACTCACACCGCAGGAAGTAGATATAGTTTCGTTGTTAATGCAAACATCAGTTTCAGACATGCGCAAGTGCCCAGGAGAAAACACACACCGGGAGTCAACTCAAACTGTCACAGAACTACACTCCACAACCGCCGTCTCAATCCTGAGATTTTCTTTTACTTTGGCCTCCACAAAAACACCTGGGGCCTGTTTCACGAAATTTTAACTAAGATAAAATCCAAATTTTAGTAATTTGATTGGATAATATTAGATTGGTTTTAGTGCTTAGCCAATCAAAATTGAAGTATCTACTAAAATTTGGATTTTATCTTTAGTTAAAATTTTGTGAAACAGGGCCTTGGCCAAGTGTTGAATGCACGTGCATGGTCGCTTATATTAGTAGTCAAAGGGAGACAATCCAGAGAGTGAACAATATACACGTTAATTGCTCTATTTTCAGGACCTTGAAAACTTACATCAAGAAGAACCCATGCAAAAGACCAGAGAAGAAATCGAGGAGGAGAAACGTAACGTGCTGGCTACAAGAATCCAACCATTGAATATTGAAAATGCCAACCAACAGGTTTTAACGGAGAAAGCCAAGGCTTTACATGCAAAACTACGACAACTGGAAGGTGATAAGTATGATCTGGAACAACGATACAAGAGACAGCAATATGACGTGAGTATAAATACGCCAATGGGGGTGTTGTCGTCGCCTCTGTGAGGCAATCACCCCCGCCTATCAATCTGATTAAACTACAGATCTATATTTCGTTTCGTTTAATTATACTTTCGATGTCCTCCACTACATGAAGATCTGACCGGTTGTAGTCAGATGTCGCATCAGGTGTCGTTTAATTATACTTTCGATGTCCTCCACTACATGAAGATCTGACCGGTTGTAGTCAGATGTCGCATCAGGTGTCATATTAGCGGTTTTTGACCATATGATGTCAGACATTTTATAACTAATAAGCGTTGATCTTTCTAGTGGAATACCCACAGTACCACACGCAAAGAACTCGCCACAACAGACTGTTTCATTGGCTAATCCCTCACATCAACCAGAACGCGGGTTATAAAACAACTCTTTCGGATCCTAGTGAAGTAAAGACAAGTAAAACGAAATTTTGAACTATAAAATAAAAAAACGAAACGAAATAGGACCTGTGTTTAATCAGATTGCCCGCCTATCACCCCACAAGCTCTTGTTCTATGTTTCTTAAATTTGTATGCGTTGTTAATATTACTATGACCACAGAGACGCCTATTGAATTTCACCGTTTTTCTTTGATTTCGCCACTTTTGATATTTATCGCCCCTGATCACTGTGTATAATCTCCCACAATCCATAATATTGGAATATGTGACATTTGAATAAAAATTTACATTTTCTTCTACATTTTAACAGTTGATCGAATTGGCAGAAAGATCTCGTCAAATGAACAAAGGGTAAGTTTTGCATGATCTTTAACAATCTATAGTTCGTTATAAGAGTTTGACCCGGTAACAAGTTTGAATCGACCCGGTTACGTATCCAGTTTGTTTTCAAATTGAACTTATTGTGAAGCAGTCGAATTGATTCGTCATGCTGCTTCATTTTTTATTTGCATGTCTTTATTATACACTCTTCTAGGCGACTAGGAGCCCGTTCCCTGTCATTCCTGTAGACATTATCCCTGAGTTCGAAAAGGTGTTTCTTAGGCTTCGGCAGAATTCGAACCCTGGACATATAGTCGAGAGTCCAGGACCCTAATCCCCAAACAAACATATTGAGCCAAACCTCGATATCGGTGAATCTCGAGAAGAGATTTCATCTTAAGGTGTTTGATATTATAACGACTTGAATCTATAAGCCTAACAAAAATAAGTCTCATTGTGTCTCACAGTGTACGTAGTGGGTGCCGCACACAAGACAGGGTATACTTACTCTTTTCAAATTACCCGAATACATATGTTATTGTGGCGTGGCGCGTTTCCTGAGCAACTGAAAATAGTCCACTAACATTGTCACCTTGTATTCATGGGCTTTAAGGATAAATGTTCAATACGGTCGATGGTACTATATGTTATTGGAATAACCGTATCGTTATTCTCCCTTTTGTTCTTGCTCTAATAACAAAAATTCTATGAACCAAGTTAATATACTGTATTTTCTATTTTTCAGAAAGAGCAAGCGATCTGCTGTCCAGGTTGACGAATCGTAAGTGTTCAGATCTCTATACTTAATAATTTTAAATTATGGATATTCTTTTCAAAATGTGAAGCCGGCTTTGAGTTTTGGCGTTTTTAGCCATACTAATAGTAATAATTTATTTTTGATAAAGGGATTCACATTAAAACAAAATCTCAAACGTTGAAAACATAACCTATTAAACTTGACAAATTTACTTTAATGTACTAAAAATGGAAAGCGCTAGATCGGCAACGGTCCTACATATTTTAGCACATATGACGTCATATGAGGATTGTGGGTTAGGGTATGAGTTAGGATCTGCAAATTTCGAGATGTAATCAGGGCTAGCACTAACCCTAACCCTGGACCAAGCCAAACCCTTACCCTAACCCTAACGCACAATTCACACATAACGTCATGCATATGTGCAGGACCGTTTCCGATCTACCGTTCTCCATGAAAAATAGGAAAAGCAGCTATAATGAATGGTTATATGATAGAGATTGGGAAAATGAATGAGTCTTACTTCATTCGGCTGTATAGTCCAGACTTGGTTCTTGAATATCTTAAATAAATATTTTGTTATACTTTTGTATTCCCCCTCAATTAAATTAAATAAATGTTTGTGTTCTTTCAGATTCGATCGATTGTCAGACAAATATACCAGTGCTCCAGTAAGTTTCTAATTTAATTAACGGCACAAATACCTAGATTACTCACATACAATCTCATAAATCAGCAGTATTTATAAAATAAATGATGTGTTGCGATTAAAATCCCATTTCGACATCTTGGCTAGAATATTATTTTTTTCACAGTTTAATCTACTCGAAATATGTACTCGGATCGATTATTTAATGTTTAATTAAGAAAACAAAATCAAAATACCAACCCTAGATAAATTCCCGTCTTGGATTCCATGGGTTCATCAATTTTGTTCGCAAACAACAAAATGTCGACGGGTTTATTACATAGCGAACAGAATATATCAATGAAATTTCATTTCAGCATATCTTTGTAAATACTGTACAGAATTGAAATATTTTTGAATTGATATTCATATTAGAGGGTCAACTGTTGACTGTTGACTCAACGTTTGAGGAGACGATAATTTCACTTTATTTTGCTCTTTCAGCCAAAAATTCTTCTCTGCAGTAAATATGAACGTTTAACTGATCGTCGTACATTCGGAGAACGGGCTACATTATTCGAGGAATTGTGTAAAGAACCACCACCACCAGAGATAAAAAGAGTCCGCCCCGCAGGCGGAGGTGGTGATGAAGAGGGGGAAGAGGGGGAGGAGGAGTAATATGTGACCCGTTTTAAGTTGTACTATTTCCTAGAATAATGGTGAGTACGCAACTCAATCGACATTCATTAAAAATGAAATAGGGTTTAACGTTCTACATTTGTGCACCGACTGGGCGAATGAAGACGGGCATGTGCCTTGCAGTATGTATGGAAGTGAAATGTCTTCGGTCATAGAAATTCGGGCAATCATTGCATTTCCATCCATTCCATTGACCAAATTTTGAATATTAGGAGTCAAAAGAAAATGAAATGAATGGACTGGGCTAATGAAGACGGGATTAAGTCATACAGTAAGCTATGAGGGACACTTTGCCCGGACAGAGGCGCTACGGTATTCTTTTATTTCGAATTCCAAATGTCAAGGGTTCTTTTACGTGCACGCTATTGTTCTGCACTACTGACAAGGGGAACCAAATTTAAAGAAGAATCTAAGTGACTGATTTTCCAATGGATCAGTATGACACCTGTATGTCCAGTCGGTGAAATTCGGGCAAAAATTGCGAAATTCCGGCACTGAAACCTGTGCCCCTCCCCGCGAAATCCGAAAACATTGGTCTGTTAGCTGCATCTTCTGCACATGCTTTTCTGGGGCACAATGAATACCCCCTCCAATCCAATGCCTTCCGGTTCAAAACTCTCAAGTGGGGTTGGGTAGTGGAATGGTTAACGCACTGGATCAGAAGGTCTGTAATTGAGCCAAGTGGGGTGGTTTCGATTCCCCACTTGTACGTTTTCTCCGGGTCGTCTGCTTTCGTCCTAATGCTAAAGACCCCTACGCACAAGCGAATTATTGAAATAAAATTGAACCATATTATTATGTTAGTTCCGAAATGACCTAGTTTGTGTCGAGTGGGCGTTAAACCCAATATCTCTCTCTCTGTCAAAACCCTCAATGTTTTGTTTTTTCTTTATAGAATCCAGACTACTGTTTGTCAAGATGACCAAATTGTATAATATTTCATCCTGTACTGGAGGCGTGCTACCATAGCAACCATATCCCATTACATAGAAGACAGTTCCTCGAACCGGAAGTAATATTAGTGCGAAACGGAAGTCATCGTTGTTGTGCAGAAGATTTCTGATCTATAAAATATCTAGTATATCTGAAAAAAAAACTTTCGATTTTAATTTGGACATTTTCTTGTTTTCTGATTAAAATTTTAGTGATTTCCTCCAGTTTTCGGTCATTTGTTTGAAATATTTTGTGCCATTATAAAATACCCATTCTGTTTGTCCAGGAGTAGTCGTAGCCTTGATTGTGCAAGGCTTTTTAAAGACAATAAAATACTTAATGAGACTGCTTGCATCTCGAGCAACCAGCCGGCTAGTTTAGCTGTATAATATATGTATTTGTGTTAGTTCAATGAGTTATATATTTATTTACTTACTTATTCATATAGATTGAAAGAGTGTCAGAGTTTATTTTGATAACCGTCCAAATTATTGCCCCGGGTAACCTATTTGACGATGCTGGTACCTTTACATTCTAAATCTGTATGAATAATCAAATTGAATTCGACTACACCGAATGGATCAATCAACATCTAAATCCATTCAGATACCATCGTGAATTTCTACCATCTAAATAAATCGCACTTATTCAGATTTCATAAATGTAAAGATTCCCATTTCATTGTCAGGATTATCTACCTTAAGAAGTGTGAATTATGGACGAGGAGAGGGGATCCTTTAGGGACGCGTTTCACTACCCAAATAAACACAAGTTCTTTCACTTTTTCAGAGAAGATAAACAATACCTTGGTGGACCCCCGAATACCTAATTATCAAAACTTCCTTTAAATGGCTTTAATATTTTGTGTATGTTATTATTAACAGTGTTTCCTCATCAACTTGGTTTCGTATGAACTGTGGTGCAATAACAAAGTCATCTTTATCATTTAGAAATTAAATAGCTCTATGTGTGAACCTTGTTCAGTTACTCTATCTTCCAACGAGTCTATTTATCAGATTATAATTACGTGTGAAATAAATAAAATAAAATAAAAGTATCTAGGATAATCGAGGCTATTGTAGGCACGATTATCTTAGGTAGATTAAAATGGAGGTTGCTTTTACTTTTCTGCTATTCAATTCAATATTGGTCGTAACAGTGTGCAGCGTTCCTGGTTCCAGCTGGTCTGCACAATGCTTTAAGCCCCTTAACCACTATTATGACAGAACACTACCTAAGAATTCCACATTGATAACAGGAACTTGTAATTTAAGGTAATAATAGTATGTGATGTCCCAAACCAGATTTAATAATTTGAGAGTAAAATGTTAATTGGTTGCCATGAAAATAGTGTACACTGTTACTTTGGTGACTTACGGAAAAACGACACGGGTTAAAGGACAATGTTCCGTGCACCGATTTTACACATTGAATAGGTTCAACAAGTTCCAAATATAGAGTAAAAATCTTTGCTTGTTCCGGATGTGACGCAAATATGGCAGATTAGTTACTGGCTGTAGAGAAATGAGATGAAATGAAATGAAGTGAAATGGGGTTAAATAACAGTTTACTTTTCTGCAGCGATTGGGCTAATGAAGACGGGTATATGCCATTCAGTCATGCAGTGTGCTATGAAAGAAATTTGCCCGGACAGTGGCACTACGGTTTACTCTTATTTCCAATTCCAACTATTTTACGTCCACGCCAAAGTGTACAATGGGCCTCTTTTTCGTTCCATCCGAACGACTATACATTGTCCCTTGACAGACCTTCTGTCCTGCACCACTGACAAGGGGAAACGCGCCGGAAAATCCCGATAAACTTTCTCGGCCAAGCTCAAGACTGACGAGTCCATGCAGAGAACAGTAACGGTTATTAATCATATGAGACTCTGGGGAATATTAATTCGTGGCCGAAGAACCATAACCATATAATTAACATGGGTGGAAAAACATACATAGGCTACGAAGAAAAAACAGTCCCTTTTGATACATTGTGTGCTACAACAATACAATAGTAGTTCATAGTGTTAGACTATATAAAAACTAACGGCATATTCTTAAAATTAAATAATGGGATTATAAACGATAATTCTACTTGCGAGCTCTAAGATAGTCAAACTGTAATTCATCTCCCTATCCAACAAATAAATAATAACTTTAGGGGAGACCGCGGCTAGTTCGACCACTTTTCAGACAAAACCTAATTACCAGAAAAGTTTTCAAGATACGAGCTTAAAAATCGATAAACATATTTGTTGTTGCTTCAAAATCACAAGAGTATAACTCTGCAAAATACCACACATGAAAAATATTTGCTGTTGAAAGGAACCATTGAACTTGGTCGAACTTACCCCGTGTCGGGGCAAGTCTAGCTGACCCTCCCTTGGGGCAAGTCTGACCCTCCCTTGGGGCAAGTTCAACCCTTATATCAAGAACATTAAACTGTCATTAATTTCGAACAATTTATTCAGAATCAAAACAAACATTGTAATTCAGAAATATGGTTACATATATGTTCCATTCATCATGTTCAGTAACCTCAATAACAATAACTTCGAACAGTATAACTATACTATAACTCAGCCATGAAACTTGATAACCAGTATTGGGCCAAGTTCGACCCCCTGGTCGGGGCAAGTTCGACCCCCTGATCGAACTTGCCCCGAGTCTGATGGTTGTACTTACCCCAACTGTTCTATTTTTAGAAACCACGTGATTCTATCGGATACGTTCAAGGCAATGCAGAAACTTATCTTCCATAATAAAGTTCACTCCCTCAACAATAACTGAACATGCAATGACGATTATGCTATAATATTTACGTTGTAAGGATAGACATGACAGAACATGTACACAGTTGCCATAAATAGTTTTCCACGGCCTATCTCGTCTTATTTGACCTGACGTCCTTCAAATGTACGTTAACGGAAACGCTGCGACCACGTCGTCACAAAAAGGGGAGGTTACTCTAAAGGTTTCATCTATTTTTTGAGATTTTAAGAAAGGTTATACTTGCCCCGGGGTCGAACTAGCCCCGGTCTCCCCTATTCAATAAATTATTAAGTGCAGAAGGACCGCACAGAACACAAACAAAAGCGATCAGACAAACTTGCTGACATGACACAAACTATAAATACATTAACAGTAATAAACAACAAATATCAGATCAAGTGCTTTGAATCTATCTTCATGAAAACCCAACACGGTATCTGAATTATTGTTATTTGGATATTTCGTTGTTTTGGAATTTAAAATAGTGCGTGACGTCATATCTTTATGTCGTCATTCAATTATTACGTCACTTCCTTAACGCTAACAGCAAGGTCATTTTCCTGAAGCTGAGTGAATGGCGCACGAAAGATCTGTTCTAGTTGGTTTAAATTCTAATTCCGACTCACATGATGAAGAAATCGTTGATTCACTTGTAAACCATACTTTGACACTTGCCATGGGAGATAATCGTCATGGACGTTCCAAGACTCCACAAGATGGACAGGCAGTAATGAAAAGCGAAGCATTCATTTCCAGATCTGACGCAGATTTAGACGATAGCGGGTCCTCATCGTCATCACCAAGAATGGATTTAAGTCTCAGAATTCGCCCAGAAAGCCCCAACGCCTCGTACGAATCAACATCTTTTGAGTCAATTCGATCTGATGAAATTGGAGAATCTTGCCCCCTTATCTTTATTGTCGATGATGTCGGACTGTCGAATATTCCCAAACCCTTGGCATCTCATCCAGCTCAAAATGTAAATCATCAACCAAAGTTAAACGATGAATCAAGAAGAGCGAGAAGCGACAGTGAGGTTCTTAAGGATAAAACGCATCACATCTCTAATTTGGACAACCCGTACCAACTACCGCAAAATACCGACCCTACTAACAATAAATCTGGAACCAAAATCACGAATAATAATAATAAGCAATGGGGAGAGAACACCAATATGAAAGCCGACGAAAGTTACGTCTACCAAAGTAATCTTATTGATAGACCTGTTCTTCAACAGGAAGAATCCTCTGGTCTCGGAATAATGTCTCAAATTAAAAAAGAGCCGCTTGAGTTTGAATTCAAACCGAAACCATCTGAAGATAGTCCAGAATATTTGATCTACAAGCTCGATTGCCAAATCCAGGCACTGGCTGGAGCAGTAGATTCAATTTTCTGTGGGCATGATGATACAAGAGACGGTGATATAGTTGCAGACACTGAACCTGGTGCACAGACAGAACTTGGAGTTCTTGCAACAAAAACAAAAGATTCTTGGAAAAAACATAAGGAAAATTTGTTTGGTAAATTACTATTAATTCATTATTTAAAAATTATTTTGAATAATCCACACGATTTTAAACTTATGAAATACTTTTGACTTGTTAATTCAGTTATAGAAAAACCTTTCCTGACCTGAAATCAGTATCTAGACACAAGACAAGCTTTACAGCCACCGACAGATATGTTTTTTTAAAAGTCAGACGTATCGACAGGGTGAACCATAAGTGCACAGATAGTTGGTGTTGTTTCTCGTTGCTCTTAGGTACTGGTGGTACCGTTTGTACTTTCTCCATTGTAACTACTTTCTTTTAATTGTAGAATTTTTGGGAGATTTTGAACAACTTGAGTATCACCTGAATGATGCGGTGATCAGGTTACAGGGACAGTCAGGACTCTGTGAGAAGTTAAAACATGAGAGAAGAGAGTTTCAGGTATGTACTATTCTCATCCAAACGAAATGGTCATATTAAAGGGATATTGTTTAATCGTGTTTTTTTAATTTTGTAATTTGCCACGGAGACAAAATTGACAAGCCTCGCGAAATATAGCAAGTTGAAATATAGCAATGAAATGAAATGGGGTTTAACGTCCTACGGTTGTGCTCCGACTGGGCTAAAGAAGACGGGCCGTTGAAATATTGATATTGTGGAATTTTTACTCATATTCCTACCGAAGCCCATTCTTAGGGGTGCTTTATTTATTTGTATCAGGATCGGTGACAAATTAATGGAGATATCTGTACTAAATATGGCCTCGATTATCCCGGTAATATTTATTTTCAAATGTGGCTGGCGGAATTAGTGTCTAGTTGACACTTATTACTTCTGTTGTGAATGGTAATGTTTTGGAACTAATTACCAATAGTTCAAATGAGTTATTATATCAGGAGAAGCCACGATGGTTAAGTAGGTAGGACGCCAACTCGCTAGATTTTCCGGCGTGGTTTCCCCTTGTCAGTGGTGCAGGACTTCATTCTGAGCGATGTTAGGGCGGTTTGGAGAATAGCGGAGTCTCGGTTGTCTTTGCTACCGTTGTTACGATAGTAAACACCATCTCGATTATCCATTTTTGAATGAAATCATTAACCACCGATCGTGTTTAAATCCGTTGAAAATCTCGAGTATCAGATGGCATCGAGAGTTGATTATGGTCTTGTCATGTTAATAAATGTCTAATTAATAATCTATATAAAAGGCCTAAAGAGGCTAAAGAAAGATATGTAATAGTAGATCTGGCTCTTGCATAATGCATCTTTAATTTACATTTGTTGTATTTGTTTAGTCATATCTTGAAGAACGGGAACAAGAATGGATGACCTGTGAACGAAGTTTAAAAACAGAACTGGAATATCTTAGATCCAAACTCTTTGATGTTTCTAAACAGAATCTTAGTAAGTTTGGTTTGATTTTCTCATATTTTATGAATTTGATTTTTTTTTCAAGTTTTGGAGACCATTTGTTGTAGTCAAGCCTAACCTTGTATTACATAATGCTTAATAAAGGTTACTTAAATTGGTGTGTGTTGGGTATAGGCCTATTATTTTCTCTTCCATTGATAAATGTGTTTTATCTTGTAGATTCTGGAGCTGTGTGGAAAATGTTGGAATCGTTAATGAGTTTACAGTTTGACAGAGAACAGGCTATGATACTTGATACAGCGAAACAAAACAAGGTTATTTCTTTTTTTCTCTTTTTGCTGTGCGTGTGCAGTGTATCAATAAGGTTGCAACAATCAATATCAAACTTCCATTAAACTCTCTTGTTATCTCGAACACGGTATTCTCGAAGGTCCCTTTATCATTAAAGTGGCCATATTTAATACAATTGGTTAATTCATGC